AAAAGCATACCGACTTTTTAAAACATCAGATATTTTACGTTATTTTAAGTCAAAATAAGGTGAAAAATAAATTCATTAAATCAAAAAATACAATGTGTTTGGGTTAGTTTACTAAATGTTTTTTTAATAAAAATTAAAAAATTTTTGTTAAATAAAAATCAAAAAAGCAAAAAGTTGGTTATTACAGTTTTTCACATAAAGTTTGAGGTTATGTGATAAATGTTAACAAAAGTATTGAGCTACTGAGTTAAATCATATTAATTTATCACTAGGTTTCTATAACGACTAGGTTCTATCTTTCTCTACTACATAGACAATTGCTCGCTTCGTTTGATCCTACGGTTTGGCAATCAATATAAGTAGTATAGATAGTTTGGGTAATTTGTGAACCAATTTCACATAATTTCGGCATTAAACTATAGTATATTCAATATTATACTTCCAGTAAATTTTTCTAAGGTATCTTACTTATTTGCTAAAATATGCGATATAAGGCCAGTCAGTAGTTCGAAAATCATTCTATTAGATATATGGGGGCTAAAGGAATTATTGACCCGATACAACCCATTTTTGGTATACAGGCATATTATAATCAGAAAAGGATTCTCTTCGAATTTCTATAACATATCTCACAGATTGACCGATATTTTCAATAAAATCTTCGCTGTAGGAACTGGGGTCCGCATATTGAACACATGATGGAATAGGTTTATTTAAACTGCAGATGCCCCTCCATATATGATCCTGTGTACCAAAAAACAGTTTTGTAGCTTATTGTGGAGCTTAGTTATGGCAATTTATTTGTTTTTGATTAATGGTGTTTTGTGGGCGTGGCAGTCTTCCGATTACGCTCATCTGCAATACCAACCGTCTCACGGTACCAAGAAACATGTCTACCAAGTTTCATAAAGATATCTCCATTTTTACCTAAGTTACAGCTTGTACAGACGGACGGACGGGCAGACAGTCACCCGAATTTTAACTTGTCTCTTCATCCTGATCATTTATATATACATAACCCTATATCTAACTCGATTAGTTTTAGGTGATACAAACAACCGTTAGGTGAACAAAATTATTATACTCTGTAGCAACATGTTGCAAGAGTATATCCTTATTTTTCAAAAGTTTCTTCCATGCTTTCAAAATTACTAAAAAACTGTAGTTATTGATAATTTAAAAAATAAATGCTTTTCGAGGTTTAGTCTTAGACGTTTAAAATATTTCTTATTGAAAATACTATAATATTGGAAATAAATAAACAAAATTCTATAAAAATGTTTAAGTTTAAATTTTTTTTTAAGTGGTGCTTGACAACACCTTCGATAATAATACAATTTTTCGATTAAACAAATATCGAAACATTCGGTCCAGGCCAATTAAATTTGGGATTATGGTATCAAGAATTTTAGAAACATGTAAGACTCCTATTATTGACAACATACGAGCATTTTTTCTACATTTGAGCGAAAATAAAGGTCAAGGGTACCAAGTGAGATCTGTACGGTATGTGCGGTCTGTACGGCTGATGACTTAAAAAGTTAATGTTTAGCCGTACAAAAAACATATCGACATGTGTGAGAGTGCACCTTATATTTTCATATCCTGAACAGGGTACATTAAGTTTGCCACGAAGTATGTAACACCCAAAAGAACGTCGGAGACCCTGAAAGTATATATATAATTGATCAGTGTGATGAGATGAGTCGATTTAGTCATGCTCGTCTGTCTGTCCCTCTGTCCGTCTATTTATACGCAAAGTAGTCCTTAAGTTTTTGAGATATCGATAAATTTTTCACACGTTATTTTTTCTCCAGAAGCTGTTTATTTGTCGGACCCGACGATATTGAACAACTATAGGACATAGGTTACACTGGCTGGCTGTCATGTCATACATAGATCTACAGGTCTTTTTAGACCAAAAACCGTCCTGCAGTCTTTCAGAGACCATGTGAGTAGAAAGCTTGCGCGATTCCTTCCACTCTCATGCACATGATCTTGGCGTTCCTGTATGCCCCTAAGGCATTCCATCTCACCCAGATTCAACTTCCAGTCCTTTTGGAAATTTCGTTGTGTAACGACTTGTGTATTTGCTGAACTGGTTCAGTAGTCTAGCGGATCTATCTACTGCCCCTATTCTTCCAATGGCAATACTATGTGAGATTATTGTTTTATTTGCCGTTTGGCTATCGACGTATATGTTTATATTCTTTATGTAATTTCCTGCGTTGTTAGCTATCTCAGCAGCTTTCCTGACCGCAAAGACTTCTGCCGGGAAGAGACGACAATATTCCGGCAGCTTAAAGGGTCGCCTGAGATCTAGTTCCACGCAATATATCTCCCCTACTCCATTAGCCATTTTTTATCCATTAGTGTTTATATTAAAAGTTCCGCTGTTGAGTCCCATGCCATTGGGTAACGCCGCCAATCTTTAAGCTGATTCCGCTGCTAAGCTTTTCACTGCAATGTAAATTGATGGCAGGTAGAGTAACCTTTCAAGTGCAGCCATTGGAGAGGTTCTTAGTGCTCCTGTTATGCAGAAAGCAGCGAGCCGTTGTATTCGCTCCAACTGTTTCCTGTATGATATTTTACTGGCATCGGCACCGTAAAATAAGATGACTTGACTACCGCTCTGAAACTTATATTCAAAAGGGCAGCTGATAGCCACCATGTTGACCCCAGCAAAACTGGCATTTTTCACCCACTCCTCCATAATGAGTTTCCACGTCAGTTTGCTGTCTAAAATTACTCTCAGGTTCTTGGTATGATCCTTAGTAGTTAACTCTATTCTGCTGATCCTCGGGGGTTTCCATGACGGGATCTTGTACCTTCTTGTAAATAGTACCATATCCGTCTTACCGGCATTTACCTCTAGGTTAGCTAATAATTCCCATTGGTGTATGACTTCTAGAGCGCTATTCATCACGCTACTAATTGTGTCTTGGAACTTGCCTATCACTAGTATAGCTATGTAGTCTGCATAGGCTATCAGTTTGGGTGCTTTTCTTTCAATACAAACTGATCGATCAATATCAAGCCCCTGCATAGAAAACTTGTATGTTTGACAGGTACTTTAACGAAGTTTTTCACGGATTATTATTCAAAGCAGCGCTGCAATCTGCGAACAAATTGTTCAAATCAAACAACTAAGTGTATTATATAGCTTCTATAGAAACAGACCAACCAAACTGAAGTCCTTGTATAGAAAACTTTTTATTTGTTAAGGTATCTTCACGAAATTTAGCGGAATTTATTGTTCAATGCTACAATTTCCGAAAAACTGCTCAGATCGGACCATTATAGTTATTCAGTTGCCATACAAACTGAACGATCAAAATCAAGATAATGATCTGTTTTTTACGGACCCGTAGTTAACATATGTCTAACCCAATACTGTAAATTTGATTTCAGAATAGTTGTCTGCTGAAATCATGATTCAATTTTTGGCCTATAGTTTGTGTTCGAAAATTAAGCAAGGTGATTCTACAAAATCATTTTGATACACATAATGCTAATGATCTCATTGTATCAACATCATTCCGATTTAGTTAAATTTTTTCATGCAAAGATTTTGGAGAGATCGTATGGTCACCCCGAGGAAACTCGAAAAAACATGAATGTATTAATGGAAAAATATAATTTTATAACTTCTTTTCTGAACGTTCTTTAGTGAATTTATGGTAAATAATAGCAAACTTTTGAAAGTGAACAACACATAGGGTTTGCCCAAATAGCGTTAAGTTCACCGCTTTTTAAATTGGCAAAAGTTGAATAGAAGTGAAAAGCAAAATTAAAAAGTAAAACTCAATTCACCCACTTATACTCTTATAATTTGTTGCATTCTTAGCCGTCTTTATTGACAAGACATATTTCTCCAAGGTAAACCAACTTATTTGTATGGACACATACAGTTACACATAAAAGTATAACGTCAAACCATAAAATCCATTAAAAGGCAAAAAGTCACAGCAGGTTTAAAAAATTTACGATGTTGTTCACCTGTGTCAGCAAACGTACCGTAATCCACCTGTTCACGGACCTCTGCGGGCAACCAGACAAAGAGTCAACAAACTTCGTTAATTGAATGCCGTACAGGACACGTGAGAATTCACAAGGACACACGCTGTGTGGTCAAGTGCTAGAGCTAGTGATATTGTTTTTAAAATCGACAATTTGCAACAATCAAAGCATTTTCATTCTACGAACGCCGAAAAGCTGTAATATATTTCTTTTATTTATGCGCTAACGGTAATACATTAAAAACTAACTATCGGCCGAAATTTTTAATGGTTCATTAATTATGGGAATTGATTTAAATATTTTTGCAAAAAGTGCTACAAATATTCAGTGCTGTAAGTTGGTTTTTAAACTTAATGCGAGTATTAGTTTTTAAACTTGATTTTCTTTACGCTTAAGGGGTTAGTTCAGTATAGAGCCTTAAAAAGGCATAATTTTAACAATTTATCTTTTTATTAAGGAAAAGGAATCTAATTTGTTTCACTCAGACTCAGATTAGACATGTGTTGAGCCTAACTGGGCGACGATGATTCCAAGAACTCAAGTTGTCTAAAAAAATAAAAAACAAAATAAAATTTTCTATATTTTATTCTACATATAATTAAAGATAAAGGTAAATTGTTTACAAAAAAAAGGCAATATTAACAAAAAATCGTACGCAGTTGAATGTTACTCAGAAATTACAAATTAAATTTCAAGTGAATACAATAGTATCCGAGGACCAACGTCGCTCGATTTGAGGAAAGAAGTTTTGTTAAAAACGAGTTTAAAGTTTTACGTACTGAATTTTCAATATTCTACCAGTGTTAAATTGTACACGTATTTAGGACTCTAAAGTGTACTGTAAACCTAAGGAATGATCTGGGTCTAAGATAATTTATGGGTCATGGGTCTAAGATTATTTATAAAATTGAGAGAAAAATTGTTTATTAATAATATTGACATACATATATTGAACAATTTCTTTCTTTTCTTTTTTGCAGTCACACATAAGTCAACAAAAAAATATTAAACTCAATCTTCGCAGCCTGAGCAGCTTCATCCGTTGCTTGCAGTTACACAAGGCCATCAGTTTTTAAGACAATAAATTTTAAGCAAAAACGTGTAAAATGGCTGAACACCAAAAACTATCGTTATGTCCACGTCTGGTGGACTACATGGCTATTGTGGGTGCACGCACAACTCCGCCCATGCCGAAAGGATTGGCCGGCAATAAAACGCCTCCCGTACAGGTGAAAATTTCAAATTTCAATGTTGGTGTTTTTTCAGACACCAAAACAGAAACATACATATGTCATATGCATATATCCTAATGATATTAAAACTAATAAATGAGCTGAGCATGTTAGAAACGGCTGATAATTTTTTATGTGACAATTTCTCGTGTCAAAAAAACACTTAGTGGGGTGGCATGGTAGCATTGGAAACGCGACTAGCCGTTTTATTAGGTATCCCATATAATTCGAAATTATTGAGAGTTTTGTTAATAAAAGTTCGGTTAAGAGTTCATTATAATTTTAGAGCAGGTATTTTAGACATTCTGTTTTATTTTGTGTATAATTGTTAACTCAGAGTTTATAAAGGCTCCAAGTAAATGTACGATTTTCTTAAATTTACCCGATTTAGGGGTAGATATGCATAATTAGACTTTTAATTTTTGATTTTTGTGGATCCATCTTTAAAAACATTTTTAAATAATAATAATCTCTTACTTATCGAAGAAAATTAGGTGTTTATTCTGTTAAAAAGTAGTTAGTCACTAATCCCACAAAATTTCTATAGTTCATATTTTATAAAGAGACTAGCAGGCTTCTCACGGGTATTAAACAAACACTTCAAGTTATCAATTTTAACACTCACACTAATGCTCTCTTCTTTGTAAGTAAGGTTACTAAAAAATCTTATAATCATAAACAAAATGCGGACATTAAGTATTTTTTACCTATTTATTTTTGTTTATATTTTATATTATTTGTATTATTAGGTATTTTCTTAATATTTGATTAGTTTATTTTTATTTTTAATGTTTCTAAAAGGTTTTACAAATCTAATGTATACAAAACAAAAGCCAATAAATTTATTGAGTCAGGGCTTTAGAACTTGCTTTATTTTGTAGCAGCAAATTAATTGATTTTCAGGAGCTCCGACCCGCGATAGAGTTGGCCATGAGTAAAACATTATTTTCATAAGTCGATCTATACTAATTCGAAGGTTTGACCCTGGGACTTGTTAATAGTTAACACGAAAGATGTGCTTATCAGAAATTGAAGCCGTTTAAATGGGATTGGTAGATCAGTTGGGATCATCGGTATACTCGATATACGAGCTAGTATTATTTGTAAGTATTCAATTTTACACACAACCGCTTCGTAGAGAGCCAACTAGGCGAGTGTGCCGCGCTGTACTTTATTTTATGACATTGACACCCCTCACGTGGATCAGTCTTGAATATGAAATAATTAATTTTAATAAGGATTAATACTAAGGTACGAATAAAGAACTTTTACAAAGGCTGCAATTTACTTATTTTTTTTTAATAAAAGCACACTTATTGTCACGTAACTATGTATAATAGTTAGACGTATGCTGTCGCGACAGTTTTTGGTTGATAATTATATGTTCTGCAAAGTTATACTACATTATTTTGTTCTACAATATATTGCTTATTTTTTTACACCTTGGGTACATTATTGGCGTTTTAGTATGAATCGCTAACTTTTATGAAAATTCAATACAGCCAATGTTCACCGGAGAGACTGTAGCTTGGTGGGATTCTCCAAATCAATCTATTCAATTCGAACAAACAAACAATCAAATCTTTCGTCTTAATGATATTAGTATAGAAGAAGAGCAACAAGATTTCTAGTAATCTAAAGTTTGACCAAAATGCAGTGCTCATTCAGTTGTTTTGTGATTAATGCACGCATTTTCAATCTGTAGTTCAAATGTCCGTAAAAGGTCATCTAATAACTGGTTTTGGGAAACATTGATGGATTCGGTATCTATAACACCGCTAATTTTACTTAAAAGCCGATATACTTAAGAAGCGACTTACCTTGTCGAACTAGTTTTAAGGTACTTACATACATAAAAAGAAGATCAGTAAATATAAAATTTGCTTCAAAATGATACATAATATAAAGCTTTATGCTATAAAACTTTAAAACAGATGTATGTAATCAAATTTGTAATATTTAATGCACCGCCCTTTTCAGATACCGGAATTGTTGCGTCGCTATCCGCCCTCAGATCACAGCGACTTTCCACTACCCCTAGACATGGTGTACTTCTGCCAACCCGAAGGCTGCACCAGTGTAGGACCGCGGCGCACAGGTTCAGCTATACGTGACATGACGTCATTTGTATTTGCACTTACCGACAAAGATTCGGGCAAGACACGTTATGGCATCTGTGTTAATTTTTATCGGCCCATTGAACGACATACAGCGAATGTGGATCGAGGAGCTATGAGCGGCAACCACGGTGTTGCTGGACTAGGACAAAGCACAAGAGGTCGGCGGAGCTCTGCTTTCCGACGTGAGTCCTGGCGCAAGAGTATGGAGCGTAGCTCAGACTCAGCTTTTAGTAGGCAAGTTAATTGTACATATATTCTATCACGCACATACTCATCATAAACACAAACACATCGTCATAGAACACATGATGCTAAACGGCGTATTTCTTGTAATAGTTACGGCCTCTTAACTTCTTCTAGCGACTACAGAAGTAACGTCGCTCCAAGTGATTCGGATCGTGAAATGACATCACGACGTGATTCGGATCCGCCGAATCAGCATCACTTAGCGCATGGCGGGCACGGACACATGTCACAGCAACAGCAGCAAAGTTATCCACAGCAAGTACCCAAACTGGGTTTGATGGCGCCATCTGCGGATTCGGAATCGGGCGGCAGCCACTCGCCGTCGCCACGTGCCTCACGTAAACGCACGAAGCTACGCAATCAATCGCTCACCTCGTTATGCATCATCTCACATCATCCGTTCTTCTCGACATTTCGAGAGTGTTTATTCATACTGAAGAAGCTGATCGATGCCTGCAATGAGTCGTCATCGCCCAAACGTTTGGGCGCTTCACAAAAGCAAAATCGTGACAATGTTTGGACGGTGCTCACTGGTCATGCCAGCGCCGAAGCTACCTCGTCCATAGTATTGCACGATGTGCGCGAGATTGAAACGTGGATCTTGCGTTTGCTCTCCACACCAGTACCTGTACCGGGCTCTACACGCGTTGAGGTATTCTCTAATTAGTTGTTAGCAATTATTTAATAATCATATGAGTTTGTGGTCACTCATAGGTTGAGGTGCTCTCACCCACCGTGCATGAGCCGCTGCTCTTCGCATTGCCAGATCATACACGTTTCTCGCTTGTCGACTTTCCGCTGCATTTGCCGCTGGAGTTGCTGGGCGTAGAGACGTGTCTGAAGGTCTGGACCTTGATCATGCTGGAAAATAAAGTGCTGTTTCAGTCACGTGATTATAATGCGCTCTCCATGTCGGTAATGGCATTCGTCACAATGCTCTATCCATTGGAGTATATGTTCCCGGTGATACCGTTACTGCCGACATGTCTGAGTTGCGCCGAACAATTGTTGCTGGCTCCAACACCGTTCGTGATTGGTGTGCCAGCAACATTTCTTATGTACAAAAAGAATTTCCGGTGAGTACTTACAATTTTTAAAGTAAAGAGATAGAGAGAGAAGGAACTTGATCTTAATTATTTTTAAAAATTAGCTTGCCGGATGACATCTGGGTTGTGGACTTGGATTCAACAAAGTTATCACCGCCAACTGGCGGTTATGAAGAGATACCACCTCTGCCAGAGCCTGAAGGCACTATACTCAAGAATCACCTGAAACAAGTAAGTAGTATAATTTTACAAAAGAGAAGAGCGTTGACAGTTTGAAAAATTTGGTTATCGGAACTTTTCTAAATCTCTTCACCCAACAACATAAAAAAATAAAAAATGTTGGGGATATTCACACCAGCTTTATTAATTCGTTATTCAGTAGTTTCTTACGTGCATTTTGTTTTTGAAAATTAACTTATTATCGATCCACCGAGTGAAGCAGTACCAGTCTTGATAATTTTTTCGTTGTTTGGCATTATTAAATCAGCTGTTTGTTTTGCGTTCACTACAAAATAATTTTAGACAAATTATACAAATATTTAATAAAATTGAATTAACGGTTTTGGAACAAAATTTACCACACTACTGAGATAGAGCAAATAGTATGTTCACAGTAAAGTATTTTAACGAAGTATCAACTAACAAATTACCAGATTAATATGGTCGGTCTGAATACCCCTATTTACAATTTACAATAATATGAAGAGATTCTTTAACAGTGCAGCTAACTGTAAACATATGTGTGTTATATTTGTTTTTTGGCTTAGCGGAAATTAAAATTGGCTAAATCAGCTTTACATATTAATTTCGCATTAAAGAACACAGTGCAACTCTTGATGTATAAGTATTTTCGGGGGTGAACCAACCCAATTTAAGAAGAGAGTAACTCATGGTAGTCATTGGATTGTAGAAACTGTGTTTAGTTTACGTCGGTCTTAAGAGACTTATCAAAAAAATTGTTCGATGTAATTTATTAAAAATTTGATAACCTTATTTCGGAAATCTCGGTAAAACCCATTTTGCGTTAAGCAACCCTTAAGCTCCCTGGCGAAATTATATTAAAAATGTCTGCAATATATTTAATATAACGAAGCTTTGAAGTATAGTTTTGCCGAGTATTAGATACTATAATTTAAATTTGGTTTTGTTCACCCTCAAAACAATAACCCACAATTCGTTGCATAGTGTAAACTGCAATAAACAATTTTTATTTTTTTATTTATATACATTTATGTTTATTGATGTATATTTAGTATATCTTGTATAATGATTTTATAGCTTTTATTTTTATTAATATTAGATGTTGCCTTTAATTTTTGGATATTATTTCCTTTAATTCATTACATTCCATTAAAAATTGTTGTTCAATAAACTCATTATGTATGAAGTTGGCATTAGTAAGCCATGTTATGCTTTTCCTAAATAATATTGTTTAAACTAATATAATATTACTTACGCAGTCGGTTCATTTCATATAGAGGGTACGGCGTTGAGATTAAATATTTTGAAAACTTTTATTTTGAATTTCTGGGACGGACACTTCACCAATTTTGGTAAAGGAACCCCCAATTTCAATAAATAATACGAAAATGTTATTGTGTGTTGCTCACTTACGGGTTTTTAGGATAAACAGTTTGAGTTTTTTTAATTTTGATTTCACTTTTACTACTGTTATTGGCTTAAATTTCTGGCTGGCAATTTGGCTCGAAAAGTGATTTTATAAATATTTAATAAAATGAAATAATAACAATGTTGAATGATTTGATTGCTTTCAGTGACTTTGACGTAAGCAAATCCTTATAAAATGCTATCGATACTATAGGCAATTGGCTGCATACAATTTCTGTGAAAATTACTAAATTGTCTAATACTCATATAAGGTCGTTATTTTGAGGCAAACTTGTTGAGTAAGGTTTTTTCAAACTATATTGAATGAAATATTAAATGTTTTCATTAAAAATAATCGTTCGCAACGCCACACCCATTATGCTTACTATACTTTTGCTATCTCTTTCACGCTAAGTATTTCATTAATCTACTGCTATTACTCTTCTCTCATTCACTACATACTACATGTACAGTTAATACGTTGATTATTCTTATACAAACTGTTTTCTTTCGAAATTTTATTACATGAACAAAGGCTATGCAACTTATGGATGAAGCTGGACTCGGTGTAAATATCTTTTATTTGTCATCTAACACTTATGAAAGGAAAAACTGTTAACATTTCATTAACTGTTTATTAAGTTGGCATGCGTTTTCATAAAATTTCATAAGTACACTTACTTTCCTTTCGTTGATATAATTGTTATTTTTGTTCGATATGCATATTTTTGTTGGTGTTTTGTAAAGAAAAGTGTTTACTCATTCTTTTTAGAGGAATTCAATATGTTATAAATTCTGTTTTATTCAAATTGTAATTAGTATTTATTGATATAAAAGTGTTTCCCACATTACTAGAGCAAAGTTATATTTCTCAGAGAATAAAATGATATTAGCGTTTAAAGACAATGAAATTTCGATAGAACCAAAAAATATAAAAATATTTAATCACGAACTGGGATTTAAATTTAATAATACCATAACCTTGAGGGACCTGAAGCACACTTATGTGGACCTATTTGAAATAAAAAGAACTTCTACTTAGTATGACTCTTACCTCAAAGTAATCTATATTTTGACCTTCTTGGGCTCTTAAATGGAAGATAACGCCAAAACAAAACAGTCAACATTTTACAGTGTAAAGTTCTCTCTTGGCAAATAAAACACGTTCAACTGGCACGGAACTATTACATAAAATATGATGAAGAATTCGGGGGTATTAAACTACCAAAATTTATTGACATATTTACAAATTAATTAATATTCTGCTTAGAGAAATAGAGAAACAAATTCTCTATTGCATTAGAATTATAGAATTTTACAGAACTCTTTGTTCATCCATTGCTCGATCCTGTTGAACGTTCGGTGAATATTATGAGATTTATGTCGAAATTCGATTTATATCCAGTCTTTTTTACATTTCAAATATGTTTAAGTTAAATAACAGCGACATTAGGATTCTGATTTACCGTTTTATAATTAATTTTTCAGCTTTGTAATTTTTCAGTCCGTAAGAGTCCTACAAAAAACTACCAGTGAAATATGTTTTTTTACTTTTGAACCGATATACATATATAATATTATTAGAGACAATTTTCTAAAAGACATCAAAATTGAGATGCAAGGCTTTAACCTATAACATAAAGATTATTGAAGTAGGAATCAAACCGAAGTTTTTGGGCAGCAACTAAAGCAGATAAATGATCTTCGAAAATATTTCCTACAAATGTATCTCTTTACTTCGTGCTGTGACTTGAATAAAGCTCTTAACATTACCTTACTTTAAGTTTTGTGTTAAATAAGCTATATTTTCTCTTAACTTATTCCTGTAATAGCTTTTGATATAGTACTGTCTACCTTTAATTTTTATTTCGTCTTTTGTTATAAAACACTTCAAGTATCCGTAGATCAAACACCCTCAGCCCTAAATGCGTCCATTCCCAAATCATCCATCCACATATTGTCACATTTCACACTTTAACCAAGTTTCCATATTCGATTGCATGTCACTCTAGGATTCATTTTGGCTCATAAAAACAGATTTGTACTAAATTTTTGTTTTCGTAATGTTCTTGTTGCTCCGTTTAGTTGAGTTCTAATAACGGTATAAAATTTCCTAGTATTATTTACCCTTAAGTACCCAAAGATATACCTAAATACAAACACAATAATATTTTTGATTTGTGGGTTACTAAACTTATGCCCTTCCCATATCAGGCGCTATCTTCTATGTCAGCTTCCAATCAGGCCATTTCAGCACAACAGCTCATGCCGTCGGTGCGTGACAGTCTCACAGAGCCAACTTTACTGGGGTGAGGTTTAGCAATACGAAATCCATATGTATTCAGCGCTAATAATTTTAATTTTCTTTAAGAGTCTCGCAAGTCCGCTTGTCTCTACAGTCGCCCACACAGTCAGCGTATGCAAGCCAACGCAGCTCGATGTCGGCACAAGGTTCGCATTCGAGGCAGCCGAGCCCAATGAATTCCCCTGCATTGAATCCATTTATTTATGGCACTGATGTTGACTCTGTGGATGTCGCTACGCGCGTCGCAATGGTATGAATAAAATGTGTGTTAAGTTATTGTAAGCTCTTACCAAAATTTCCTTGCAGGTTCGATTTTTCAACGCGCAAAATACTCTCGCCAACTTTGCCGAACATACTCGCACATTGCGTCTTTATCCACGGCCGGTGGTCGCATTCCAAATCAACAGTTTCCTACGATCACGTCCACGTGCAACACAGTTCCTTAATCAGTTTGCACGCACACAAGCAGTAGAGTTCCTCGCCGAGTGGTCATTGACACCCACTAATGTTGCCTTCTTGCGCGTACAAACTGGTGTAATGGATCCAGCTCAGGTTGGCGATAAGCCCAAATGGTTTGCACATCAGCTTACGCCTATACGGTTTTCGGTCTGGGATGATGGCAGTTCACTCAATGGTGCCCTACGTTCATTGAAACAGTTGGAATGTCAGCCAACCGATGAAAGCGGTTCCGACTCAGAAGGCGCAGAGAGTTCAAGTTCCTCTTATTCCTCGCTCAGTGATTTTGTTTCGGAAATGGTATCGTCAGATCTGTCGCCGAGTATACATGATGTTTTCGGTGCACATAATCGACCACATAATGTGCCACAAACACTTTCATCAAATCTAGATCCCGCTTTGGTTTACCATCCACCTAGAACCTTACAGTATCCAGAAAGCATGTCTAAGAAAATTGAAATTAGCGAAGATGAGGAAGCGCAACGCGCTATATCGCCAATTTCGTCCTCATCCAGTCGTTCGGATCTAAGTTCGCCCAGTCGCGATTCTGAATTCGAATTTCCAACTAAATCAGCAACTGGTCCTTTCGATTTAGCAGCGCCTGCGGCACAACGTCTTGAGGCGACGTTGCGTGCTGCAAGTATTGATAACGAAACTAATGAAGCAGGAGAGCCAAGAAAATCTCCGGTATCTGCACATAAACAACAGCTACAACATCACCAGCAGCAGCGTCATGCTGGCGAAGCAGATCACACCGGCGTTGACAAGAAGCGTCCGGTAAATCAATTTCCATAATTTAATACATCTTTCTGTAGCTTTTCTACAATATATATACATATACATACATATTTACAGCCTCCAATAACACCACCAGTGTCCAATATTCTCGCACGTACCGGCAGTTCTGGTTCAAGCTCGAGTAGTCCTGGCAGACAGGGTTCACAAGGTTCACTTTTCGAAAATTTTGCTTCGCACGCAAAGGAACTGGTGCGCGAGACAACCCGCCAGAGCAGTCAGGAGGGTCTCTTAGCTCAAGTGGACAAAGTAAGTTTGTAGAGTATTGCATTTTTTAATATTTCGAGACACTTTCTAAAATTTTTCTGCGTAATTTATTTATCAACCGGGGCCGAAAATAGTAATTACAGCACCCAAAAATTAAAAGTTTTTAGTATTCTATACTAAATTTTATAGGGAGATATTTTCAAACACTTTTTCAGAGGATATGTGAAAGTATTTGTTAGCTGTATCGAACAACAATGATGTTATCCAACATGCAGATGACCTCTAGAAGTTTAAAACCACATCCGAATGATTTAGTCATTTAACGTGAATAAGCCAAGGGACGAGCTTTAAATAAGTAGCAGCTTCACGTCTGATGGTTCTAGTTTTGCGAGACAACTTGTGCTCCCCATCTGAAATAGGTGGTTTTTGACTTCCAGAACATGGAGAGTGTTAATGAGGGCGTTCGATGTCTCTTTTTAAACGTCTTGGCTGTCCGTTTATTAGATTTATTGTCCGATTTTGGAATGTATGGTTTTACATATTTTAAATCTGTTCTTTCGGGATGATGGATTTATCCAAGACATATTTTGATTTCAAGGATTTAAAAATGCAAACTATTTCCTTAGTCGAGTTTTGCTCACATTTAATATTCTGCGAATTTAAAACCCGAGTTTTAGCTCTTTAGAACAAATTAGAGGATGTTAATCTAAATAAAAAGGAATATATTTCGGTCCTGGCTATATATTTGATTGCTTTACTTTTTACTTGGTTAATTTTTTACATAATTTCCAAAAACTTTTGATTTCTGAAAAAATATTATTAGCAACATTCAATGGAAGGTAGTATACCCGAAGAGTTAGATGAAAAAGTGCGACACACTTTTGAAAAGGTTTGTAAATTAGAGTGTCAAATTCATAATTAAAATTTCCGCACTTACAAAAGAGGCTTGGATTGGAAATTGAGAATATATTGGACGAATCACCAAACAAATTAACACAAAAAATTCACAGATTTTCTCAAATATCACTTTATATGCCCCCACACACGCTTTGTTCAAATCATAAACTGTCATTTAGAATTTGAAGTTGGTATTCGTACTCATAAAAAACGATTCTTTCGGCGCTGTTACACATTTCGCCGCACGCACGAAGCATTAAACTATAATTTTTTAAATAGACACACTAATAGAGTTTTGTAGCTTTAACAATTCGTAGTCCCTTTGTAAGAGATTTCACACACTTTTTCACAATTATCTTCCTATGCTTTGAGAAACTCTTCTCAATTCTGATTTAAATTTCACACCCTTAGTAACAAAAAAATATTTGGTATCTTCCCTTGTTTTCACTAATTATTTGTTCATTATTCTATAGTTTACCTTGCACGCTAAGAAAGCTGCCGGCGAAGCATCTAAGCAAGCGTTAGAAGTCTCCAAGCAGGCTGCGGGGGTCAGTAAGCACACCTTCGATGACCTAACCTACGTCAGCAAGTCAACGATTGGTGATTTAACGAAGACAGCCAAAGAAGCTGCTACCAAAAAGGGCATAATAAAAGTGGATGAACAACAACACATAGTGGGACAACAACAAATTGCTACCCAAAAGCAAATGCAGAGTTCGGGTGGCAACTTCTTTTCATCTATTGGCACCGATTTCAATGGACTGGCCTCATCGACATCCACCATGTTTTCGGGCATGTTCGGTGGCAAGAGTGAGCTCATTCAAAATACTGTATATATAAATAGATAGTTATCTCTATAAACCCCAAAATGTTTGCAGAAAATCAGCAAAAGCAACAGCAACTACCGCACCCACAATATAGCAGCGGCAGCTTGCAGCAAAAAGCCAAGTCTGGCATCAATTTCGATCCCTTTCCCAGTCGCAAAGGTCTGGTAGAACGCACACCACTTATCAAACATTCCGGTCCGGGGCAGACGCAGGAAGATATTACGCGCCAACAAAATCAAGAGCGTTCACACAGCAATACGGAAAATCAGGCTTTCCTCAAAGATGTCACCACGCAGGTTTTGGCTGGCGAAGGTGTTGGCTGGTTAAAGATGAATCGTTTCAAAAAGCTCATGGAAGATGAGTCGTATCGCACGCTGGTTCTTAGTAAACTCAATAAGACGCTGGACAAGAAAATCATGCCTGATGATCACATAGATGATGTGGTAAGTGTGATGGACTATGTTGGTTTCCGCACAATTTAAAACATACATTTTTCCGTTTTCTTTGTAGTGCGTACCCAAACCGGTTTGGAAAGGTATGCTAAAGTGCTTGCAAGCGCTGACTGCAGGGTTTGAGGTGTCTTTTTCGAACTTCGGCCTTGGCGGCATGGCTTCGATATTTCAAATGATGGAAATCGCGCACACACATTACTGGAGTAAGGAGCTTAATGAAACTACCGACATATCTTCCAGTTTGTTATCCAGTCATGCCACTAGCCCTATGGGCAGTCGTGAGAATTTGCGTTCGCCCTCCAGTCCCATGGATTCGCATTCCGGTTTAGGCAGTGAATGGGCTTCACCACAAGAGTCACGAAAAGGTTCTTCGCAAATTGATCGTGTCGGTCCAATGATTAATACAGCCGCAACCACGGCGGCAGCCAGGCGTATGTCATCTGCCGACAGTCAGGACGGACAGTCGACAACGGAAATGTTTAAGGATATGTTGGTGCAGAAACGCACAGCGCTGCTAAGCAAACTCACTTCATTTGACTCGGACGTAAGTTTTGTGGGCTACTTTTATAGCTGTTATTGTTTATTTAATTGTTTATGTACTTAAATATGTGTGTATTTATATTGTTTTGCATGTTTCACTGTTGTTATTGTAGATTTGTTTACAGTTTGAATTAACACATACATTTTATTATGATTGCATGTTATTATAATTATAATTATAATTATTATTATATAATTATTATAGTTATAATAATATTATTATAATTATTATAATTATAATTTTAGCATGTTGAGACATATATTTTTCAAAAGTGCATGGATACAACGCGTCATAAATGATCTATTTTACATGAGGGATAAACAGTGCATTTTCCTACGCACAATCTTTTTTGAAAGTTCTGAGGTTTACTAAAAAATATTTATGTGAATACTGTTCTCACAAAAAAAACCAAACTGCTAAAGTTAAAAAGCCTGTCTGGCTTCTGATATACGAGTATATGCTTAAACTAGGCTTGTGGTAGGACTTCTGCTTTAACACATGGTCTTTTCCAAACCTTTTTGTTTGTAGCAGGAAAAATCTAAGATTATGACCCACTACAGCGGAATCGTAAGGAACAGTTATACTTTCAAAGTAATATCAAATAAAGCGTTCCTGTTTTTCTTGGATCTCACGATTTACTTCACTTAGTGTCACAGTACTTCACTTTTCCATTGCGTTTCTCGCCTATCTACTGATTCTTAGTAATGCCAGATGGAGATTCATGAGAGTAAAAATCGTATGTGTTTTTCTTCCGGATCTTGCACATTATCTTGGCGATCTTGCATGTCTCTAAGGCACTACAGCTCACCCTGATCCGTCTGTCAGCTCTTTTGGAAATTTTATTATGTATCGTTGTTAATGACTTGCATATTCCCTGTACTGGTTTGGTAGTCAAGCGGGTGGCACTTTTGTTAATCTCATCAGTTATTTCGTTTCTCCGAATACCTTTGGCGCAATAAGTAAATATTAAGATAAAAATTTAGATCCATTCCGGTTATATAGACCTGTTTATATTGAGAAATTTAAAAAATATATGGACGACTATATTGGACTTTGACTAGTTTAAGGATTAAAATTTTGTGTTATATAGGGAATATCCAAAATTGTTTCACTAAAGAACAATTCGCCTATATGCTTTCATACAATCCAACTAGTTCAATATTGGATTTCTCCTACATACATATAAAATAACATATATATACATACATACGTATTGAGTCCGCTTGTAGAATTATTATACCTAACTGTGTGTAGATGCATTTGTTACGCGTTTTGTTGTTGTTAAACTCGAAACAAAGAATTGAAATGCGACTTGTTTTGTGGTATACATTCATAGGGTGCCGGTTCCACAGGTGCTCTATCGGTTGTTAGTGACCTACTGCCAGGCGGTAGTTTGAATGTACGTATGCCCGCTAGTTGTCGTTCAACGGTATCCGATACCGAATATGAAAATGTAAGTAATATATCAAAAGTATTAAAAAAATCGTAAAATATTCAGTGTAATTTTTAAGTGATTTTTGCTAGATTGTGCAAGTGATGCAACAATTTTGAATGAAATGCAAGCGAACCATCCTATTTTTATCAATTCTTTTGTTTGCAGAAAAATTTTAAATTTGCATTTGACCAAATTCAAATTTCCAAATTACTCATTTTGTCTTGCACATAGATTAGTATTTTGTGTTTTTGCTATTTTGAGCAATTTTTTATTTGATATTTTAAACCTTTTCTTCACCTATGTTCCCACGTCATTTAGACTACAACCTCGAAGGATTCGAAACGAAGCTCTGGTAATATTTGGTCCGGCAAATCCACGCTCAGCGCCGGTTTTCGCTATACAGGCGGACATCTAATTAACACATCTTCCTCGCCATCGCCGGACAGTCCAAGAGTCTACCTGTTCGAAGGTTTAATTGGGAGGGATCGTTCGAATTTGTGGAATCAAATGCAATTCTGGGAGGATGCTTTCTTGGATGCAGTGAGTCAAGAGCGTGATATGATTGGTATGGATCAGGTGAGTAAATCATTTTTTATATTTCTATCACTCATGTTACTGCCTTAATGTTATCTGAAAAATAAAATGACCTAAAAGTCTTAAGTTGACACTGATCGGTTATATATTTACATATATGGTAAATAACACAAATATACTATATATATAAATAGAAAAAAATTTCATGTTAGTCTAGATAAAAATGGAAGCCAGTTAACGTGTCGTTTTGGTACCACCACAGCGACCGCCAAAAATTAAGTACCGGAAATTACTTCCATACATTTGAATAATATGGGAATCTTTTGACGTATCCTGGAAGTACTTTAGGTGTTCCAAGCCGAAAATTTTTTCAACATAAGAGCAAAAAAAAGCAGTTCGCAGTCATGGCTTCAGCTGCAACCTATTCATTTGACAATACAAGTATAAGTGAATTTCTTAAAATTTTAATTTTATTTCATCTTATGTACCCATTTATATTAGATATTAGATGTAAGTGCCCTCTGATGACTTCTGACATATTGCTCATTTTTAGTTTTCCTAAAGTGGTAACCTTTTGGTCTATCCGCCATCTAAACTAACTCAAATCAGTTTAATTAGCATCTAGATCTCCATACGTTTATGAATTTATTGGTTAAAGCTGAAGCCATTCTCCCACAATATTCTCCATCCGAATTTCGGACTTATTGTAAATTCTACCAATCCTTCAATTGCAGAAAACGGCTATACAGTTTTTATGTGTATGCAGGCCTTACATTTTATAGTGCTTGATCATTATAAACGGTTTCCTTCACTTACGTAGTATCAAAAATGTAAGACAAATGGAATTTATGATACCTGTGAAGTTCCTTGACTTCATTTATTATGATTTGATTATATTGTAGTAGAACCGATTTGATCTTTCGATTATAGGCTCTGCTTTATAAGCTCAGAGTGTGTTAACTCAAAACTACAGAAACATTTTTTCCAATACTTTATTACACTTTAATATACGCAAAATTTTGTGTAGGGACCCATCGAAATGATGGAACGCTACAAATCATTGAGCGATGAGGAACGCAAACGCTTAGAGCACGACGAGGATCGGCTACTCTCCACAATGTTATACAATCTCACCGCCATACTTGTAATGCTTGGTGTAAACAAAGAGGAGATTCGACGGAAAATCCGACGCCTTCTGGGCAAAAGTCACATTGGTTTGGTTTATTCGACCGAAGTGCATAATGTTGTAGACCAAATAAATAATCTTGTGAGTAGTTATACAGAAAGTTATTGGTATATAAATTAAAATTATGACCTTACGATTTTACGATATAGAATGGCAATGACATCGATCTAAAACCGCTCGGTTCGAGACTGCTGCATCGTCAGAGTTTCACCGTACATCCCGGTTCAGATAATAGCGGACCGCTGCTCTTTATGGAAGTGCGCGACGACGGGCTAGTGGTGCGCTCTGTCGACGGCACAATTGTCGAACGCTGGTTTTATGAGCGTCTGGTTAACATGACGTACTCACCAAAAACTAAAGTACTCTGCCTCTGGCGCCGCAACGGCGGACAGATACAACTCAATCGTTTTTATACGCGCAAGGTGGGTTGCGCTTAATGAAATATATTTATTAAAAAATAATTTATGCTTATTGTTGTTTTTTTATTCTATTATATAAAACAGTGCAGAGAATTGTATAACTCTATCAAGGAGTCCATGGAACGCAGCGGTACGCCGAAAAATGTGCCGGAGTTGGGCGGTGAGTTCCCGGTGCAAGATATGAACACCGGTGAGGGTGGCCTTTTACAGGTGTGCTTAGAGGGTGTTGGTTTGTTGTTTGCCAATAGCAAGGTAAGTAAATTGATTTTCAATAGTGACAAATACAATTCTTAATATATATAGTAAACTATTTGTTTGTCGAAATTCCCAAAAGTTATAAAATTGATATCGGAAATGCAAATAAGCATTAATGGTGTAAAAAGACTTTAGGTATTTGTGGGAAGATGTTTTAAGTACATAATTAACAATTTCAACTATTTTCCCAATAACTTTTAAGCCTCTTTTCAATAATATTTTAATTTTTATGTTTTTGTGAGATTATTAAATTGTAAAGCTACGTCAATGAACAACTTTTTGCGTTACTTTTCATTATGCAACTTCATAAGATGAAATTTATTTTCTTCATTTACTTCTCTTTTATAATCATACCATTGTAAAATTGTGAAAATAAAAAATTATTATTACATTCTTTTTTTGTGTAAAGCAAGGACCTTCTCAATTTACATGACAAATTTTACTGCCAATGTTGATAAAAACTAAAATACAGAACTTAATATAAAAAAAAAAAAAACAATATAGTCACAAACTACGGTATAAGTACTTATTTGCTTTGTAGTGTTTTATTTTTTAAGTGGTAACAAAATACATATTTTTTGTTCTTCATAACTTTAAGTTGTAGTGCTATGAAAAATGTATTAACTACGCTTTTAAAGTTACTTAGAGAATTTAAAACTCGCGCCTACAGACTGTAAGCGAAATAATTGTAGACAAAGGTTAGACTGAAAGAATAATAATTATTTATTTATTGATTCGCAAAGACCTTACAATTTCTGGCTATAATATGAAATATTCAGTAGATAATAATTTTATTGAGTTACACAAAATGAATCCCATATTTATGCGCTAGTATTATTTTCATAAAAATAACATTCGGTATTATCTATAAATGTACAGTAAAAAACTAAATTAATGACTATAATTTGACGAAGCATGACCAAATACTTGTATGTACAGAACGGTATAAGAATCGCAATTCCGCTTTTTGACAGTTCGATTTGACTGAACGTGCATTATGTATTGTACCCTATGGCTCCACGGGAGAGCAAAGAGCCACAATACATATACACTTGTAGATATTAAACCAAACTCAGTTTTATAACTGTTCCTACATCATCTAATGAATTGCGTTGATAAAAGTCAATACAAATTATTTATTTTGGACTTATGCGAGTTATAAGTAAATGAAGTCTGCTACTATAATATTGTGGAGTAGTTTCACCTCAAAACTTTTGACAGAAAACGTTTTTGTTGAGCGAAATGTAATATTGCCACTGTTAGAAATTTGAACTAAGGGTTTTCCACATATTTAAAAGAAGTTTTTTGATCATCTTAATATATATTATTGTTCGACTAAAGAATCCAATTCCCTTTCACCGCTAAGGAGCAAACATAATTTTAATACAGTTTTTGCAAATTTCAGTTTACTGCGTTGAATGTTTAGAAATTAATTATGCATATATACTATAGACCAGGGTAGATAAAAAATAGTAGGACGAAACCTATTGGAAAATGAAGATAAATAAGAACAAGTAAGAAAGGGCTAAGTTCGGGTATAACCGAACATTTTATACTCTCGCAAAGTCAAATGGTATACTCGTTTGAGATTTCTTTGTGGATTGACCGATATTTTCGGTAGAAGGTCAACTAGAGGTACTGGGGTCTACATATTCAGTACCTCGGGCTTGAACAGTTTTGGTTCGATTTAGACAATTTTTGGTCACAAGGTGGCATACTTTAAACGTATTATTCCTGCAAAGTTTTACCCCGATATAATCATTGTTGCTTGATTTGCATACTGAAAAGTGAAAGAATCAGATGGAATTGAAAATGGTGTTATATGAAAAATAGGCGTGGTTGTAGTCCAATTTTGCCCATTATTGCATTATAACATAGAAATATGAGAAGAATATTATGTATCGAATTTGGTGAAATAGAATAAGCAGATCTCAAGATATAGGGTTTCACCTAAAAGTGGGCGGTGCCACTCCCACGGACTATTTTTGAAACCGGATCCTATAAAGTCATCTCATAACATCCTAGAGATAATATTAAATTTAATGTCTCTGGCGTGTTTAGTGCTTGGTTTATCGCGCTTTTAGCATTTTTTAAGAGTACCGTTATATGGGGAGTGGGCGGAGTTGTCACCCCATTTTACTCATTTTCAAACTGTAGGTAGAGGTGCTAAAGTGAATTTTGTTATTATAGCATTAGCGGTTTAGGAGATATACACATTAAACCTATTAGGGGTGGAACCACGCCCACCAACATCTTCTCGGCCTTCTGTAAAACGCTTGTACCACTTATACTTTTTTGGGATAAGTGGACTCACCGAATGCCACAGTCAACATTTCAAGTGCCTGGGGCACTTTATTCCTTTTTAATAAAAAATTTAATATATATTCTTTGATCCATTTCTTTCAAAAGTCAAAAATCGAAGAGCACACAAACACGTGAGTAACCTTTTTTGTTGTCAAAAACAAACTACTAATCGAAAAAGGCTCCTAATGAAAGCACCTGATTAACATATGTGTCCTATTATAACAAAAACAAAATATCGATAATCGAATGTACACAGCCCGCGAAAAATTGAAATTCACTTTTTCCTTTAAACACACCTCGTATTTTAGTAGTATGTACATATGTATGTCGATCCTCTTGGCAACTAAATTATTTTCTCAATCTGCGTGGTATTATAGGTATATATAAGTGACCCGCTCGAAGGACAAAAAGTTTGCGGTCAATCCTTAGGTGTTAGCGAACAGATTATTTACAAGTATAGCGGACAACAGCAGGTTAGATAGTAGAACCAGAGAACTTAGAATATAGAATTCTCTGGTAGAACGAGCAGTAAAATTCCATGCTTGAATGATCGCAAGTGGATTAAGAGCCAAGGTAATTAAGAGCCAATGTTTTACGAGGGAATTTTGTTGCGGCAACTCCTAACTCTTAGTTTGTAGGAGGTGACGAGGAGAAGAGAAAGACACTCGTTTTCTTATGGTTGATTCACATGCAACTTTTGCTTCGCTTTGCTACATACATTTGCTTTGGCAGATATGTTCGATGTATGCATTTGTATGAGTTTACAACGAGGCGAAGCGCAACAAAGCGAAGCGAAAAGTTGGACAACACTCATCTTTTTACAATTTACCAAGCAACAGTCGCCATTTTTATTAGAGAGAAGCACGGAAAGTATAGCGACAATTCCGATATACCCTTTCCTCTTGTATGTGAATGGGCCATTAGGCGCTGGCTGTTGGGGTTTGTCCTTTAAGTTAGCATAAAGTTTGTAAAAATTATAAGGTTGAACTCAACAGAGAGATATTGATATAAATATGCAATTTTCACTTATTTTTTTTGTTTTGTTTGTTTTAATTTCTTTATTTTAAATTCTCCATAAAGAATTCTTGTACGTAGCTTGTTATAATTAAACAATAAACTTACATTTACTTTTTTTTATCTCGAAATCTTTTATGGTATTTCACTTGTAGGAGCACTTAAGAAAATTCATAAAAATCCACTTATTTATTTTAATAATTTCTGTCTTATATCCTTTAAAGTAAATCATATTATTGCAAAGCAAATAAAATAATTATAGATTGCTAGTGAATGTACTGAATGCCAAATACTAATTCATATTTATTAATTACCAATTACAAGTTTTATTTACTAACAGTTACTATAATATAATATTTGCTATTTAATATTATCACCATTCATAAATATTACTGTTATTATTTGATTACCTTCTTTTTACTATATATACAAAAATAAAATTGGTGAACGCAAAGCAAATAAAATGCGGTTAGCAGGAAAAAAAATTTAAAGGAATATAAAAAAATTATTTTAGAAATATAAAAAAGTATTTGAAACAAATTTTAGGAATATAAAAAATAAAAAATTTAAATATATTAGAAATAAAAAAAACTATGAAAAAAAACTAAAATACCCGAAACAACGTTGTGAAAATTAAATTTTTAGGGCTTTTTAATGCAATTAAATATTTTTATTCTAATATAAATTACTATATGTAAACGTGTAAAAGTACATATTTTCGCTATCTCTATCTATTGTGCCACTATTTAACTTACTATTTCTTATGCTCTACCTCTCTATTTTAAATTTTTGAATATAACTTTTCTTTTACTGTTATTATGCCAAATGTTGCGTAAAATGACTACTTACAACTGACATAAATTTTCGATTTTTTAAGTTTTTGAACAAGCCTTTGAATTCGTCAAACTCAAATCCTAATTTACTTGTTGTGTTTTTACTTAAAATTTAAAATATATTGAATTTCAAAACAAGAAAATCTCACATATTGTTGAACGTCATAACGTAATACATAAATGTGGCAGTATACTAAAATAGCTTGGGTCAACTTAGGTTAATGTTGATATTTAGTAATTTTCTGACACATTTTTTCGATATTTTGTTATATTTAAAACTTAAAAAACAGCTTCGACTCGGAAACAACAAATGACAGTAAATAAAAATATTGTTAAAATTTATGTTCATATTTTAAATCCAAATACTTACCACCTTAACTTAAGTGGAGTTAATCTATTTAACAAGTCAGCACTGATATTCAACTTTTAAGCAGCGTGGAGAATAGGAAAAGTTACTCAAGCCGTTTTAAGAAATACAAAATTAATTTATTAAAAAACTGTTGGACTGAGAATTATTTGGAAGGCTTTACAAGCACTAAATTATAATTAAAACTAAAGCAGTTTAGAAAATTCGCAATTTTCGCAAACAAAAATATTTACAGTTTACTTTGTAAAGCGCATACTTTTTGTTAAAGTAAAGAGTCCAAAAATTAAAGTTTTTTTTATAAGAAAATCTGCTGTTGGAAAAAAACTTTAAATTAATCAATATTTACAAATATGGAGTTGAGCTGGTTTTACTTTGTTGCTTTATTACAAATTTTTTAAACTCTTTTAACACTCATTTAAATCCCTGCGTCTTCATGTAAATAGTTTTAATAAAAAAATACAAATAATTTTTTTTAATCCATTACATTTTATAATCATTAGAATTGATTTTCTAAAAAAAATATTATAAGCTTAATTTTCGATTTCAGCCTTATGCATCATCGGTGTTTTTTATTTTGCATTAAATGCTCGGAGCCAACATTGCATATGGCTTAAATAACGGTACATATGTATGCATATGTATGTTTGTTGCAATATTAAAACTTAAAATTAAATCACTGAAATTGTGAATTTTCTCTAAATTGGTAACTTTTGAGATGGTCCTTGTGTACATGCGATATTTTTCGTCAGCTTCTTCTCTGATTATTAAAAGTTTTTCTTAAATACTTTGCAATTAATTTATTCTGTATTATTTACTAAGACATTTAATTAGGAGCGTTAGGTTTAAATTTCACTAATTACTATGCCCATTTGCGCATTCGTATATTTTTTCCATATCTTTATTTATTTTTACTATTATTTACTTAACGCGCTTTTTCAAAAATTATTTTTTACTTTTCGCTACTGTTGAGTTTTCAAACAAGCACTAACCATGTTTATTTTAATTTTGCAAAACAGTTAGAAAATTAACAGAAAATTAGTAAAAAAGACTCTAAGCAAATTAATTGTTTACTTAAATTTTTTATTGTTTATAACCATTGTTCATTTTTTTGATATCTTGCGGATCGCTGCCGCTCTTCCTTTTGGATTAACTCGATACTACTCGTTACTACGTATTCGTATTCGAATTCGTTCGATTGGTGAATTATCTGAAACATTCAATGCTCAAAACTAAAACAAACAAACAAAACTTGCAATTCTAAAAGGATTTCGAGGTACTGATAATGTTATTATTTTATTTCCCTAAAATACCAAAAAACAAAAAAAAATATATAAGTGAAGTTAATTTAAAATAATTAAAAAAAGACTTCTAAACAAAAACCAAGCTACATAACTCGTACAAAAATACAATTTTTAGTTTCGTTTCGAATGAAAAAGTAGCCTTTATTTACTCGTATATATCTATTTAAGTACATATAAGCCATTTGTTTGAATTTGTTTATTTAAATTTTTCATTTGATAAAGCCTAAAACTTACTGTCTCCAAAAATAGACTACTCGTAAATAAGTTGTTGAAGCCTAACTGTCTTCGAAACACGCTCACTCACTGACCACACGCTTGCTAAATATATGTTCTTCACAACAATTTTCAAAAATTAGTAATGTACGCATTTTTAAGTTGTTGTTCTAATTTAAATAGTTAATTAGTAAACATTTTAGAGAAGCGGCGGAACTACTAGTTCAGCGCTAATTAGTAATAGTTAAATTAAAACCGTTAAGTTAAGCTATTTATTTTGTAAAACTTTATTTGTTTTATCAAACTTTCGTAGTTCTTCGTGTAAAGGGAAAACTCTAGACACCAAACTGCTGCAAATACTAAAAAATATATAAAATAGAAAAAGGTTATGTTATATATTGAGTATTCATTTCAAATTAGTAAGTAGCCAAAAGTTTTTCAACTGCACTATTTTTTAAGTTTTCACTTCTAATTGTGTATTTCATACGCCAAAACTATTTAATTAAAAAAAATGTATGCAAAAAGTTTAATCTTATTTTTTATTTGATTTAAAATTTCTTCCAATTTATCCTAATTTATCCTGGTACTTAGTTATGAAAATACTTTACTAATTATTAAGTGAAACCACTTTGGCGCAACTTGTATGTGAATAGGATATGTAAATGAGATATTTTTTAAACGTCTTCATTTTTCGAGAAGTTCAAGCCAAGAAATGACACCTTTATTCAGTTAAATTAGGTCTAAAGAAAAATTCTATTTTGTACCAACGTAAAACTATATGGTAGGTTAAGGGGTTACGTGTAGTCTGAGATATGAAAAAGTTAAAATTTTTACTAATTTTTTTTTGCCAATAAATTATATTATTTTATTGACTTACTTGATAAAATTTAAAAAAAAATGTATAATTTTAAATGTAATGGCTGTTTGTTTTGATACAGTTCCAAGCGAAGTTCCTTGCGGTGAGCATTACTAATCCTTGGAGATTCACCTAAAATCAATCGGACAAAAAAAATATTGTAATTTCTAGAAGCGAGAACGTATTTCTATTTAATGAATAACTCGAAAAGTATTCGTCGAATTTGCTTCTAATTTTCAGAAAATATTTCTAACTTACTTTAATAAAAAATGTATTTCTTCAAAATTCTCATCACTTCTAATCTAACCCCTTAATACTACCCTTAGGTACGCCGAAAAATATCTTGATTTTCTCAACTAAAAATTAAAAAAAAAATATCACAGCACAAATTGAAAATTATTTTTTTGTTGCTAAAATAATAAATATAAAAATAATTTTTAATTTCACTTCCATTCTATAAAAAAAATATAATAAAATAATTATATAATAATAAAAGTATTAAAAAAAATTACGGTGGATTAGTAAATAGAAAGTCCGCAAATAAAGCTGCCCGCACCAAACCAGCTTGTAGTAGTAGCTTGGAAAATCAACTTCAAATGCTATTAACTAGCTAATTTCGCTTTAAAACTGTTCATCACTATCTTCTTTTTCAGTTTAATAAACTTTAGTTTAATAATAATTTTTTTTCTGCTTCCTACATTTTGTTTTAAATTGAAGATACCACGTTAATGCGTTACTTCCACCGAGTTTTGAAAGTTTTAACTGCGTTTCAGGCTCAGACTACTGCAACTCTACCAAATTGTTTGTAAATTTATACATAATAAATTTTTTTCGTTTAATTATCTTTTTTGTTTACTATCTTGCCTTCCACTGTTGGAATTATGGTTCGCAACAAGGATACGTTGCGTCGCGATTGTGCTTGACTGAACTCAGTTAATTAATCAATTAAAAATATTAGAATTATGATTTATATGAGTAGTTCTTCTTATGCTGTTTATTTGTTAATAGAAAATCTTCTTTATATTTTGTTCAATTTTTTAAATGGTTACGAGTAAATCAATATCAAAATATCTTTTTTAGCAAGAATACACTTCATACAGTGATGTGTAAAACATATGAAACTGGTAATAAAATACTCATCTGTTACCCAGATGTTACGCGATCAAGAAATTGCTTTCAAATTGCAATACACTCACACTTTTCTACTACATACTTTTCGAACTTGAACGCCGTATTGATATCAGTTTTTCCAAACAAGTCGTGTGGCAATTTGATAATCAAGTTTAAACGGTTGATCACATAGCTTTGAAAACAAAAGCCATGCAATTATCGTGAACATGAATCTGTCGTTATAACAATAGAATGATATCAAAATCAAAGTATATTAATCAATTTCTGCAGTGCAAAAATGTGAAGTTGAAAAACCACAAAATCAATGGTTTTCCTATAACGAGATCCTTCCTCATCTTACTCTTTTCTTCCCGTTTCATCTTTCTATTAAATTATTTATTTCGTTCAAAACTTTGAGGAATTTTAATATTTATTCCTGACGATGACATCTTGAAACTTGAATTGATTAGCTGTCAATTTAAATCAGTTTTGTCAAGTATTTTATATAATCAACTTGAAAGCAAGTTCTTGATTTTGCAACTACAACGTTAAATAGATCAGGGAATAATTTATTAATTTGTTTTTAAATTATCAAAAGGCTGTTTTTATGTTTGAGTCTAGAGCGAATAGAATAAAATGCATACTTTAAATTTGAATGGCATTGCTTTCACTGAAATTTGAGAAATGGTTATGATCAACATAAAATATCTCATATAAATTGAAGATCTTAAATTAGTTATAAATTAGTAATGTTAGTCATCAATTGAAAGAAGTGATCGATTTTTGAGTAAGAAATTACATTTTATTCATTATCTAGCTTCAAAGACAATAACAGCTTCTTCTTCAGTTTTATTTAGTAGTAGTAATAGTAATTCAGTCTTAATCTAAATATTTTGGCTACATGTGCAGCAGGGGCGGATCCAGTATGTCGGAAAGTTGGCTCTTTTGAAAAATTACGGTAATTTGGAAGGAAATTTTTAACAGACAAAATTTCTTCTTTAGGAATAAATAATACGAGAAAATAGTTAAATTAACCGGTTCAACTGTAGGTGTTTTACGTTGATAATATGTGCTTATTAAATGTAATCCAGAAATAAATATCGAATTTTGCTTTCCTAACCTGAACCCGAACCCATCTCCCGAAAAAGTATTTGTATACTAAACATTAAAAATTCTTAATACTTTTTGAATGAACAAAAGCACTTGCCGAGGAGCCGCAAGTGATATCTTTAGTATTTTTCAGAAAATTTTTCATTAACATTGAAAATATATACATATGTAAATATGTAAATGAAAAGCAGTTTTGATACAAATAGCACAACTACTAAGCGATCCAGTTGCATATGTTTAAAGCACTACTGTAAATGAACTTAGTCAAGTTGCAAACCGTAATAACCAAATGTCATTATAGTGAACAGCTGATTGGAAGTAAAAACGGAGAAGGGCAGTTAAAAAGCAAATATTAAATCTACCAAAATTAGGTTTTACAACTGATATTCAACTTCGTAATCGGAATTAAATAAAAGTAAAAGTAATAAACTTAACTAGCGTAATAACATGTAAAATTGGTGGTGAAACGTTTGAATTTGAAAATTAATATGAAAATATTGTTATAGGTACATATATGAAAATGTGCGCAAATGTGTTTTTATTATTTGGAAAATTAAAAGCTCGGCGGAAATACCATTTATCATTTCAACAGAACTGTTGCACTAAAAACGTACACATAATTTGCTCCTAAAATACTTTGTTGCGAATGTATGGCGTTAAATACATAAATATATTACAATACTAAAACAAAATTGAAATTCGTTAGTAGTAAATAATTATTATTGCCGTATGAGTTATTGCAAAGCAATTTTAAAAATATCAAAGTTATTAAAAAAACGAAAAACAAACAAAAAAACAAAAACCCAAAACCAAATTTGTGTTACAGTTTTGAGTTGTATGCTTGTGTATTTAGTTTGTTTAGAAAGTTTTTTACCTGTAGCGTGTAGTTGCAAGTTAAAAAGTTGCATTATTTCAGACGTTTGAAAAGTTATTAAAAAGTACGTTAACAAAAAAAAAAAGGTATTTGATTACAAAATTTAACAAGTAATTACATATATACATAGTTTAGTTTGCATTGCTAAAAACGAACGTTCTATCACTCCAAAAATTGTTCTACTACTTTAAAGTTATTTACTATTTTTACTTTTAGTAGCATATTTTGTTTGTTTTTGTTTTAGTTATTAAAAAGTAATTAGATTTTCATATACGAATTGTTGCATATATAATTTGTACTATTTATTATTGGCCAACACATTAAAAAAAAGACTTATGTATTGTCGCATGCCGAGTTCATTAGTTACAAGTTAAGCAGTTTAAATAAAAATTTATATATTTATGTATAAATTTACATATAGCGTGAAAAAATCGTAAACCAAATTAATAGTGATATTCTTTTCTATAGCATTCGTTTTAATTACTACCACGTTAATAACTATTACTCAAATTGAACCATTTGAGCTTCAAAAGTAGCAACCACAACCATTACCTTCACATCGCGGTGTAATTAAATGTGTATACACGAACAATAGTCGATAATTGAGAGTTGCCACAGTTGTAAATTGAAACTTAGTAAGCAATTAAAAGAATGAATTCAAACATTTGTGACTAAGAGTTAAATATTTGTTATAAGTTGTGCGCTTCAGTTTCTATACGTAAACAAAAGATAAAAGTTCGATAATAGAATTACTTGTACATAAACAGTCCACGGAAAAAATATAGTACATTTTTTTTTAAGTGAATTAAATAATTATCGACACTATAATATAATTTTTCAGTGTAGTGAAGGCAAACAGACATGTGCTAGTTTTGGTGTATTATTATGTTTAATTTTTTTTTGCACAGAAACTGATAACTTCGAACTGATTTAGTGCTCTTGTACCAGATATGCTTTAAAAAATTTAAGCTCCTTCATGACACATTCAAATGTTTGAGCGCACTATTTTTGGTACAGGCACTTTTACTAAATGTGAAAGAGAATTTTAGATTGATTCTAAGTCATAAAATTAACAGAGCAATATTGACTTTAAATAATATTCGTTACTATCCATTGAAAGGCGCACCAAATCAACTGCGGTTGCTATGTTTACTGACCCACTGAGGCAGAAAAATGTGTAGAAAAGAAGGGTCAAATCTGATATAGCGCTGTCAAATAGAGATAGCGACTATTTACAATAATAAAACGCTACAAAAATTATGAAAGTGCCGTTAATTTACTTATTATTACTATGAAAGTTTGACAGTTTATTTCTTGTATAACATATTGTGTCACAATATTGTTTCTGTCATTCTTGGCTTCAAGCTGGTGTGGTATAGTAGGAATTAGATAAATTTTTTATACAATTTACTTTATTTTTGAGACTTCTCAACAACAAACAAGTAACTCAAATGATATATATCAATATTGCGCGATTCGTTTTAGCTTATAAACAAAAATAGCTTCATTTACACACTTGGAAAAGTAATTTTTATTAATTTCAGTATTTTTATTTTTATACAAGTAAAGTGAATTACGAATTTTAACTTATTTTTAATATTCATCATACCACGTTACGTTAAACAAATTGCGTTACGAGAAAATTTTCGAAAATGGGTTAAAAAAAACACACAAAATTTTTAAAAATTATATTCCAATAGAACAGTAAAATTTTCATACTTGCACCTTCATGCACCTTAAAATTTATCACTTTAGTAAAAACATGAAAGAAAGCAAATTTATTTTAACAATTTTAATGCTAATATATTTTATATTAAAAAAATCCGGTTATGTGCTGATAACTCGTAAACACGTAAAAATATTTTTATTGAAGTTTTTAATTTAATTTAATTTAAATTTAAGCCTCTAGTTAAAAAAAATATCGCTACACTACACCAAAATTACTTATTAAATATAAAAGCAGCTTTCAATTGTCGCTTAGTGTATACATACTATATATGTAAAACAATTTTCACACTCACTGCGTTGTAGGCTCACCCCTCCCTTCTCATCACTTCCAGCGCCCTCTAGTATGCTACGCTTTCCACTGGCTGCATATTTTTGTCACTTAGAAGCAGTTTTAATGCATAAGTAAATTATTCACAACAACAACAATACAAATCACTATTATAAGTATCATAAATGGCTATAAGACTTAAGCTGTTTGTTGTTACTTTTGATTTTAATTTTTGTTGTTAGCCTTAGTCACCACCAAAGCATACAGTTATAGCTTACCTAATAGCTTAAGACAATTTCTTGATATATTTTTGATTTTAGACCATCTCACAAGTGCTAATTAGAATTGAATTATACCTGTACTATGCTAAACCCAAAAAAAAAAACAATGGAATCCAACAAATAATCATAAATTTTTTTTGGAATTTTAAGCCCTAGCTTGCGTTTTTTTATGTTCTATATACTTAAAATGATAACATGCATTTGGAGTATGAAATAAGCATAGAATTGTTTATTTAATAAAATTCTTTTTTAAGCATTTTTAGTTTTGTAATTTTGTTTATTTCTTCTTTTTTAATTTTATATTTTATATATCTATATATTATTTTAATTTCAATTGTTGCTATTTTTTATATATTTTTTTAATGCTTCTGCCAACTTTTTTTTTCTACCCTATCAATTTGACTTTTTAAATATCACTACGCTAAAAAACATACATACTCGTACATATATATTTACAAAACGCTTTGCTCATGCACGGTATTAGTAAAAGCGTGCCTACTTGCTTCGAAATACCGCAAGCCGCCAGCAAATGGCTGCGTTACTGCGTGTTCGCCTACAAGTACATAGTTTTATGCTCAAAAATTATTATTTTATAAATTTCTCGACTAGTTAATATTGGCTTGTTGCTCTGCTTTTTCATTAAGCTTTCGTTTATTTGCGCTTTTAATTTTTTGCTTTTGCTTTAGCTATCCGTCTATGCCATGGCTTTTTATGTATAACTATGTACCGTATTCTAGTTTACTAGTCGCAGCGCCGCTACTTAAGTCTCTACTTACTTAAGCTTTTGTAAATGCATTAGCAGAGCGTTGAAACGCTTATAAGTGAATTGGTATGCAAAGCTTAGTTTTATTTTTGTAAAGCTGCAGTGCGCATAGCTCGCTAGTAAAAAAGTGAATTTTTGTTTTATTTTTGTTTTAACAAAAAAATTTTGTTTTTGTTTTTTGGTAGCAATAACTCTAATAATTAGTTAAAACTGCATGTCATGTTCTCAAACGAATATAATCCACAAAATTACACACAAACATAACAATAAATAAGTAATAATGCAATAAAGTGCTATTAAATTGTTTTAGTATTATTATTTTTTCTGTATATTGAAAAACAATTTAAATTGTTTTAAATATATTGTTACCGTTATTGCAGTTTTTCGTGCGGCTGGATCACATACGAAAATGCTTCACGCAGATGGGCGGCATTTTCGTGCTGGAAGAGTACAGTAAGTATCTTTTTAAAATGTTCAATTTTAAATAATAATGTGGAAAATTTGAAAACACTTACAATGTGGTAAAAATATGTTTTGCAATACTATTTTAAAAAGCGCAAAACAAATACATATTTGGAAATTATAACTTTGAAAAATTAAAAAACAATAAATTATTTTCGAGAAATTTTTATTTAATTTAGTCCTTTATCAGTTATTTGGACTTTTTTCTGAATACAAAAATCAGGCGGAATTTATTTTATATGTCATAGCAAAATTGACTGCGTTTGCTATTCTCGTATTAAGCCAGTTTGGCGCCGTAAAAAATTACTTTGCTTTGGCAGTTCTTAGAGTAAAGAAAAAGGTTTCAATATATTTTATTTTAAGTTATAATAAGTTTAAATTTATGTGTAAAAAAAGTTTAAAATGATATTTTGATACCTAATGGCGGCTACTGGCCCTAACTTTTGAATCACCTTTTTTAAAAGAGTCTCAACGGACGACGGTGATTCTAGAAGACTATACAAAACTTGCTAGTAAGGTACATGTGTACGTTATTGGCTTCACATAAAGTTTTCGCAAAATGTAAAGTGTGAAGTGATTCATAGTTTGCATTGTACTGTGTTAAGGTTTTTATTATGTAGCCGTAATAACAAAATTCTTTAAGTGGATTTTTTAGATGCGGGTAAATATGTTTCTACAGCTATATATGTATATGTATTATGTATGCCAATACATACATATCTATAATATTTGGCGACATTCTTCCTAGCCAATTTCGATTCAAAATCGGATTTTAAAAACAAGTTCAACAGTTGTTATAGTTCGTGTTTTTCTTACGGTAATAATTATTGGGTTCTAAAGTTTGTCAGATAGGTGTCGGTAGTTCTTATCTGATTCAAATTAAATTGGTTCGAAGGATGGGGCTAGAGTCGTAATATTCCGACATATAATAAAATGTTTAATATACTAATTTAGGTTAAACTTTATACGGTACAATTTCGATGACTTTTGTGTCCAATGTGTCAAGAAATATGTCTCAAATGACAGCAAGTTACAAATTCATTTATAGAGACAATTCATTTTAATGCATCGGTAAGGACATTTATCACTAGGTATTGCAAATTTCTATAAAAATTAAATTTCAATCGTTTTTATTAGTTATTGACGACTGTCTTTAAATGTGACGTTACTTAAAAATTAAACTTGTCGTTTAGAAAAAACCTTACAAGCCACCTATCGGTTAACTCTCCGGTTATTTACCCAACAGCGCTACCAGAGATTTCTGTTAAAATTTCCACTAGTTTCTTAATGCCGAATTGACAAATCTAACCGAAACACTTATGTAAGCATGAACATCTCTTTCTTACACATAGAGCTTATGAGTTGTACGATGTATATGTGTTAGCTTCCAGGTTAATTCTACCAATATATTGCAGTTTCGGTAGTCGTGAAAGATTGCGACAATTTTGTCCCGTCAAATGAGATTAAAACAGTGCACACTTTTTTCAAATTTACAGTTTTTTTTACAAAAGGTGTCACAAATATTACTAAGTTTATCTTGTTCAAAAAATACCATTACATTTTCAAGTAACATTTCAGTTAGTCAGATTTCAGTACGTCTTTAAAAAGCTTTTATAACTGTACTTTTCCACACTATAAATATTGTTTTATTTTATTTTACACTCTTGGAATCCACTTAGATGAAAAAAATATGTTTTTTTTTTAATTTAGTGTGCTGTAATCATTTAAAGTCTTAAAAAGAAATTATAACTCTTCATTGCAGACCCTAAAACACGGCATCTTATTCAACGAAAATATAAATCAACTTTGGTAAGTATGAAATGTGTATGAATGGCTTTAGTTACTCGCATAAGTTTGTACAATACTTAAAGCCTTTTAGTTAAGGACATTTATCATCAATCGCGTAATGGGCTTGCAACAAACTTGTATAATAACAAAAGTCTATAAATTCATAAATTGTTCATTGTCATTCCATTTTTCCCATAACAATAATTTTTGGTCATAATACATATGTATAATATATATTTTTGAGTATAAAAGTCGAATCATTTATTGTCATTACTAAATTTAATAATTTCTTAAAGCAAGGCACAACATAAGAGTATTTATAACATGATGTATATCTATTACCAGTGTACAAAATGGGCTCATCACATTTTTACACGGTTAGGTTATCAAAACATTTGTTCCACCCCTAATTTTATAGTAGAGTTTGCCTTGGAAGTGTTTCAGCATGACAGCAACGACTTTTGTGAAAAATTCCAGACTTAAAACTCTAAATAAGAAAATAATTGAATTGAAAATAACTTAAAAATTTGAATTAAAAATAATTTTAAAGTTTTTAAAAACTAATTCCAAGAACTGAATTGAAAAAAAAACATTTAATCCCAAATACCGGATTGGAAAAAAATGTTAATCCGAAGTTTAGAGTTAGAATAAAAAACAAAATTGTTTTGAATTTATAGTTTTTCAGATTCGGGGATTAAAAACTAGATATACAATTTTTTATTAAAAAAATTCGCAACCTTGATCATAGCCACACAAAATAACTGATTAAACTAGTATTATGGACAATATGGTATTATATGCCACCAGATACTGAATAAGAGGCGCACGAAAAGAGAAATGAAACCACCTTCAAATTATTGTATCATGGTTACGAATATGATTATGAGTCTAATTTTTTGCAATGACACTATTTTACCATAAGTTTTCTTTTCATATTAGAAAAAAGTGTGAAAGTTTAGTATGAGCTGCTGAGAGAACTTCGACTTATACTCATATACCGTCGAATATATTGAAAAAAAATCTAATTTAGTTTATCTGAAATCGAAACCTATTAAGTAGATCCTAAAAAGGTTTCGTTGTGAAATAAACCATACTTTTTTTCAAAGTGCACTAGAAGTGCTCTAACTTTTCAAATTGCAGTGCAGCTTTAAATCAATTTAAAAACTTTACTCAGTTAAACTATTTTTAGGTATTCTTAGAGATGACTTCATGTGGTACAGAAATTTAGAGCATAAAATAAAGTTCATTATATAGTAAATTATCACTTTCTGAATAATTTAAATATGCACATTTATAAACCTCTAAAATCCTTTGTAGGCGAACATCAAAAAAATACACGCAAAAGTAAAAAAATGCCTGTAAAGCATCAACACAAACTCGACTATTTTGCCGAGTATAAAGATATAAATACTGACGACTCGAAACGAAGCGTTGAAAAGCAAAAAATATAATATCGATTTTATTAAGCTCTTGAAATATATTTTGTGATTTTAAATAAATTTAACTTGCTGGATATATTTCATATGATGTTATGGCGAAAAATTTTACTTTTTTATAAAGATAAGGTTTGGCCATTATACATTAAAAATGATTTCGGAAAAGTGCCTGCCGCGGCTGGCTCGAAGAAATTTCAGTTAGGTCAATCATCTCGGACTTAACAGCGTAGACAACCGACTTCACATAATCCCAAAAAAATAGTCCAGCGGTGTTAAATCGTACGAACTTGGAGGCCACGATGTGAGATAAGGGGTTACATGAGTTTCACGGCTTCAAAAAACAAAAAAAAAATTTATTGTCTTATTTAATTCTATGCCATCTCAAGAATATTGTCTTAAATTCTTAAGTTGATGCCAGTAATAGTTTTGGAGGCTCTGAAAAGTTACGCCTTCGAGGTCGGGTATATAGTCACTTAAAACTTTAAACGCGTTTTTCTCGAAACTGTATTTTCAAAGTCGGTTGTCAAGATTTCTCGCGAACTACTCAATCGATCTTAATGAAATTTTACAAAGGTTAAGCTTTTCCTTACAAGGTATTGTATTCAATTACAATTATTTAAAACAAAAATGCCAAAAATACAATTTTCACTTTATTTGTTTTTTCTCCGTCCTATACCTAGTTAATGGTCTTAGTTCAAACACGTACTTTTTTTACTTTTAATGATCCTGTCAGAAATTCTGCTGTCAATGCGGAAGTACCATTTTTCCGAGGGAATCTTTATATTCGGAATAATAAAAAGTTTCAATAAAATTTTTTTATATGAAAAAAAAATATTGAAAATAGAGCGTTTTTTGCTTGAAGTACTTAGATTCCCATAAAGTGCTCACCAAAAATGTCCTTCAATAAATTGAAAACAAAGATCGTCCATATTAACATCCTTAAATTATTAATAAATAGTAGAATTTTGGTCGGCTTCATTTTGGAAGAGATATGAACCAATGTACGGCCTCTCTGAGGATGCGCATTATCGACTAGAGTAAACTTGGTGCAACAGCGATCCATGGTTGCTTAACGCATTGCGGGAACCGAACCATTATTTTGGTAATAAATTTGGACGATTTGCAAACATTTTTCCGGGATAAGTCTGTTCATTATGATGTGGCAAACTAAACTGAGTATAAATAAAGTAAAAGCTGTCAAAAAGACTGACTCCGAAAAAATATTGGCTCATTGAAAGCCACACATCTAAGGACGGATAACACGTAAATAAGTGTTTTGGGTAGCTTCGTCAATTCGGCCTTAAGAAACTCATTGAATCCTAACTGAAATCACTTGTAAGGCTTAATTAAAGTGTCTTGTAGTTGACTTGCTGGGTATATTTCAAGTGCGCTTATTAACCGCGCCCAATTTCGCTTGAATACATAATATAAGTTTTGACTGGTAAATTATTGCCAGTGTGTCAAAGGTATGCGGGGAAATTTTAGTATATGTAGTCCCGCGTTTTCTTCGCACTTGCTTAGAAGTCTACGAGCCAGTTAACAAGCTAAATACTTATTTATTTATAACAGATTATCAATTTATTAAAAAAAAAATACTTTTAATATTGTATTCCAAAGACAGTTTACATATACTAAATAATTTAGAAATACAAGTATTAAAAATAAGCATATATTATTTTTCACCGATTATTATTTATTGTTTCTCTTTTTTTCATGTATTTATATGTATCCTCACACTACTGCCACCACTACCACAACCACAACCACCAACACCAATTAACCATACTCGAACATAATCACATCACCATCAAAACATAACCGTTATTATACTCGTGTCTGTGTGTTTTATGCATGTGTTTGTACATACGTAAATCATTGCGCTCTTTGAAAATGTTCATAAAATTTCGCTACACAAACTTACATATCTTAACATTTTCGCCGTACACCAATAAATATCTATAAACGACAACATGACAAACAACAACATGGAATAAAAGGTGCCAGTTGAGCATATGCTAATTTATTTCACACGCATACTCTCAATCGCTTACGATTTGCACCTCCAAAAACTGCAAACCGGCGCAGTAGTAGTATTTGAAGAGCCCCTGATAGGTGTTGAATCGATAGCTGATCCACAGGTGGAAGCTAAAGAGGTGGCCGAGGTTTTTGAGCAGGTAAAAAATGTTGAGCTAACTACAGCTGCTGAGCAGGTGGAAACTGATGAGCAAACTAAGGTAGAGGTGAAAGCTACGGAGCAAGTGAACGCTACTGAAGAGACGAAAGCCACTATGCAGGCGAAAACTAAAGTGCAAGTTGTAGTTACAGATCACGTAAAAATTACTGAGCTGGTAGAAGATATCGAGCAGGTGAAAGCTATTAAGCTAACTAAAGTTACTGAGCAAGTGAAAGCTTCTAGATCGACCGGAGCTACTCAGCCGATGGAAGTCGATGAGCAAACGAAAGCTGTAGAGCGGGTGCAAAGTACAGAGCAAGTAGAAGTTACTGAGCTGGCGAAAGCTATTAAGCTAATTAAATCGACGAAGGGTACTAAGCGAATCGAAACTGACGAGCAAACAGAAGCAGCTGAGCAGCCGAAAGCTATTGAGCAGGAGAAACTTACTGAGCAGAAGGGGGTTACTGAGCAGACGAAAACTACTGAGCATTTGGAAGTTCTTGAAATGGAGAAAGCTGCTCGAACAGCGAAAGCTACTGAGCAGGCAAAAGCTAATGGGCAAGCGAAAGCTAATGATCAGGTGAAAGCTTATGGGTAGGCGAAAGCCCCTGAGGAAGCGAAAGCTCACGAGCAGGCAAAATGAAATAATCAGATGAAAGTTGCCGAGTCTATGAAAGCCATTAAAGCAGTCGAAAACTACCAAACAGTCGGAATCAACGGAGCATGACGAATACTTGAAAGCAAAGCTTGTGGTGCTACGTTTATGGTCACGAATTAGCAGGAATTAAATAATAAAAGAATTTTCAAACTGTGATATATCTGAAAAGCAACTAGTATAAGATATCTGCAGTCCACATCCTACGTAAATTTTTGAAATAAAACATACGTCACTATATATACTTAGTAAAAGCAAATATGTAAAAATTAAAAACCTTGCCTCATTTCGTGCCGAGTTTATTTTATTCAAAATTATACAATTCACACACTGAAAACAAAATCTAAATTATTTAAAAATTATATATATATTAAACCTAGCTGCCTTTTAATGCCAAGGAAGTATATAAAACAATCACAAACAAGGTCTTATAAATTTTTATACCCTAAAATATTTTTTAAAATTATGTAAAATAAAGTTGAACAAAAATCAATAAGTTTTAAAAAAATAATATAATTAAATAGTTTGCATGACTGGTGTATAGCTTTTGTAAATACGAATATTGAGTTATTATTAAATAAATGCTATTTAAAATTGATTCTAAAACTCACACAAGAAAGCTAAAAATGTGTTTCTTTGTATAAATGTGTACATAAGTGTTTGTGCACATGTATCTTCGTACATATAGGTACATATGTATGTGTGAGTTTGTAAATGTATATTACGAAAATTTCTAAGTGTTTGTGAGCTCATTTGCATTTCTACTATGGAAATTTAGAAAGTACATATCAGGGGACGGATTCAGTTTAATTCCGAGCACTAAATTTTTCTCTGTTCTTTTCTACCAAGTTTTCGTATTAATATTAATAAAATTTATATTTTTACAAAAAACAGTACTTTTATTATTATTCTTCAGCAGCACATTTCATTTGCTCAACTTTTCATTTCTTTCACAATATTTGTTACTTTTTTAAGCCGTTCTGATTCGGAACTAAATCATGAAACAATATTTTCGATCTGTCATAGCTGACAGACATGGTGTTCAATTATAATACTAATTTAAAATAACATCACTGCTATTTTGGATGTTCCTTATAGGTTTTATACGAGTATGTTTTCGTATCTAAACTAGTTCAACTTTTCTCTTTTTAACCTCTTTCAGCGATAGTTCACTTTACTGAAATTTATATCACTCTCTAAAATTTGTTTATTCTGCAGTAGCTAAACTTCTCTATGCTTTTATTATTTCGACATTAGCCGTCTCTTAATGACTTCTATATGATTATTATGTATTATTAACGGATTATATACCTGAAGATGACTTTTAAATTGTGAAGAAAAGTATATTTTACAAAAACAAAGAGATCAAAGACCAGACAGATAGATAGATGTCTAAAAATCAGTAGTTTTGAAAAATTTTCTTAAAGTTGCTTTAATATGTTAGTGGTTTTATGGGTTGGAAACTAGAGGTCTAATTAGTTTTAAGAGTGATATTAACCTTTGAGAGGTGGTTACAATTCCAAGCAACTTCTAAATTAAAGCGTTGGTTCACTAGTAGGCGCAAAGTTGAGACTAGAATTGTGATCTAGTAGTTTCACAAAAATTTAGTTTTTAAATCTTGTAAATGGTTTAAAAATGTACATCAAGTCTAATTTCTGAAGTTTTCTCTTCTCAAGCTATTCTTTGAGGTCTTATTACATTGGCTACTCAGCTAACCTAAATCGCTAAACTGTGTACGTTTTTGGGAAAAGATTCAACATCAAAAATTATTTAATTCAAACTCAGCAAAGCACTGCTATTCAATTTTATGGCTATATACCTAGTAAAAGCCACATAAACCACTTTGATAATATTTTCGATGGCCTCATTATATAATATGTTAATCAAATTTTAAGTTAAAAGCATTCTTATACTTACGTTGAAAGGAATTAATGGATAACTATTTGGTTGAGGTCTGGGAGCAATTAGATTATTTTTATGTTCATCCGCTCGCCTAAATTTTTTTCGAAAATATCGTTTACCTTTTCCAATAATACTCGCATTCGCTTGCTAAAATTGAAGTCAAAATATTGGGATCTTTTGTTAATAATACACTCAGAGAGCAAATTAAGTACTTAATATACTCGAAGATATGAGATGAAATTACTCTCAAAAAAAAAAATAAATAAATGGTGATCCCACTGATAGTGGTCGGCAGAAGAGGAACTGCGACTGGGAGGGTAAGCACGAAAATAAAGACACCCAGTGAAAACTATGTACCCTTACATTTTGAGAATTTTTTTTGCTCTTTCGAGTAACAAGCATTTCCGTGCGTCTTTTTCATTTCATATATTTTTCGTTCAAAGAAAATATATTGGACCCTATAAACCTAAACTTTATTGTTCTTAAATAACCTCGAACACAAAATGTAATTCATAAAACCAAAAGGCATTCATAATCATTTATAATTCTGCGCAGAACAATTTGGACTTAGCAGCACGACCATGCCCGATTTTATTTCGTCGCCGTCTAAAGAACGACTGAACGAAAGAGCGTAAGGGTATGTGTGAAGTCTGCTAGCACAATTGTGCTATACAATGACGAGCACTGTTTCGGCGAGCATCTTCTGTTCGAGCGTTTTTAAGGCAGGGACTTGATATCCTTTATTTCATATTATGTTATCTTCTGGGTTGTGGAGCATGTGGATAAAAACGCCTGTTCTGAAGAAGTAAAGAGTAAATATTAGCTATGTTTTTAAACCCAATTTATAATTAAGATATGTAACTCAAAATGTATAATTTAAACTAAGATAAAAGAAATAATAAAGAATAAAAAATTTTAAAATATCAAACAATATCAACCACTAAATTTTCTTGACCCCAACTAAATCTTCTTTACAAAAATATTGTGCGACGCTTATTTCCACATAGAAATGCAAATGACCTTAGTTTGTTAATGCGTTTGTTGTAGCAATGCAAGCGTGCTCAAAATAAATACATGCATTTAATAAGTATAACGTATCGTTATTAAAAATTTTCTCAATTTTCTCACTTTTCCAAGGCTGACCAGATTTGCTATGCGGTTTTGTGCGTTTTCTCTTATGTCGCCGCCGGGCAGGAGCAGAAGAAGAATCCCGTTGTTATCACGCCACAAATACAGGACATACACGCACAGCAAAAACAACAGCACGCACAACAGCAAAAGCAATTACAACAACAACAACATCAACAGCAGCAGCAGCAACCGCATCCGAGCAGTAGCGGCGCTACAAGTCCACGCGCCTTGATGGCTAAGCAAACAGCGGCGGCAACAACTACACCCAGCAACAAGTCGCCATCATTACCAACAACACATCTGCCACCTCAACAAGGCACTGGTAAGAATTCCACAATCACCATACGCCACACGATGCCAATGCAAAAGCCGACGGTGACAACGGCCACGGTGCAGCCACAGGCGAAGTTGCCGCATGCCGCATATACCTCGCCAGCCACAATCACTGCTGCGCCCATGCAAACAACAAGCGCGTCTGGCGGCACAACAATGCAACAACATCATCAACAACAACAGCAGCAGCAACAACATCACCCACAATCAAACTATCAACAAGTGTCACCCGTTTCACCAATACAGCAACATGCACATCAATATTCACAACAACACCAACCAACGCCACCAACTCACCATGTGCCCTCCCACAGTCCAGTTAGCCGCACCAACAGCAGTGGCAGCACAACTGGTTCCTTACCACAATTGCCGCCGCGCGTGCCCTCACAAACCTCAACTGAGAGCCTGCACTCCTCGCCACCAATTGGCAAGACGCGCGGCTTACCAGCCGGACCACCGCCCGCAATACCGCCACGCAGCGGCGCCATGGCACGCGCTGGTTCCTTACAAGTACATTCCTCGGCGGCGGCGGCGGCAACGTCGTCAGCCGCCAGCAACGCTCTAACGGGCGCACGTAACTTTGTGCGTCAAATTTCAGCAAGTTCAACGCCACCACAATACACACCGCAGCCACCGCCACCCTTCGTAATACCCAAACGGCGCACCTCATTGTCGCGTGCCTCCTCGGTTGCGTGTTCGGGTGCCGCAGGTGCATCCCCAGCGAGTTCAATGGGCGCTGTAGGCGGTCAACGACCCTCATATGGTAGTGTGAACATGGGCATGTCCCAGCAACAACAACCGCAGCATCCTTCGTACCAGTCACAACAGCCACAACAACAGCAGCAACAATCGACTGGTGCCAGCGGTGCCAACAAACACTGACGAAGGAGCTCATTCTTTCGTTTTAGCGGCAGCAGCGGTGGCGGCGGTGGTGGTGGTCATGCGGGTGTTGAACCACAGCCACGTGAGGTCTGCCGCACTATTTGTATTCCATGGCTCTGAAAAAGTGACACAGAACGGGTAACTAACGCCAGCAAGCACTGGCTACTAAACTTTTCCGCTACATAGATGAGCTTTATTATTAACATACCGAAATCAAGGCAGCCACCCTGAAGGAAAAATTTTACTAGGCTAGGTTAATGATTGGATAGGCTAATGATCATTTCGGGGATTACGAATGCCAAGTTTCTAATTAAGTAAAAAGCTCAAACATTTCTCAAATTTTTAAAATAATTATTTGGCAAATACAGTGTAAAGAGTGTAAAACCAGATTTTTATTAAATACAATTTGCAGAAATATCGCCTCATTTCACCTATATTTTAGCTTTTATAATATGCACATGAAACACCTTTTCCAAATAAAACAGAAAACATTAACAAGGTGTAACTAGTACTAGGCTATCGACGAACCTTAGAAAATAAATCTCCCGATTTATCTTTAAAGAGTTCTGCATGTGTGAAATAAATCTTTAATATCTGATTAAAAATTGTCGACAAAAAGATTTCCTGTTAAATGTACTTTATAGAGAATTCTGTGAGTAATAGGTGGATTTTTTTCCTAGCTACCGGGCAACACTTTCCAAATATTTTCATTTAATTTTGAATTTTGTTTTTTACGAAACAATTTTTCTCATTTGATGTAGATGACAACTGAGAGTAATTTAATTTTTCGTATTAAGACGTGCTAGTAGTAGACGAAAGGTCTAGTTTATCTTTACTAATCTTTTTCTCCAGGCAATTTTGCTTATCTGGTTGAAATTTCGCAGTAAGCAGTACTTGGACGTACCTAGTGGCTCCCACTCAAAGTATGTATATGTAAGCAAAGGACCGCCACTTAGCGGTCAAAAAAATTTATTGAATTACTGTATCTTACCATAGTTTTAAAATGGCTTATGTTTGGTCGATTCTGGAGAGCAAAAAGCAGAAAATATTTGGAAAAATATAGAACTTCGCCTAAGTCCTTAAACTAGTATACGAGAATCTAACTTCACAAATGTCGCTATAAAATCAATTAAAGAAAAAAATGATTGTCTCTGAAATACATATACATACCACAGAATGGTAAAATGTATGATCTTTAAGTTATTTTTAAAAACTGCTCCTTAGATGACTATTTGATCAAACTAAAACTTAAGCCTTGTTAACTGAGTCAAGTGAGTGTAGTCGTGGGTTCGAAACAATTTCTGATAACTAGACAATATCAGAATTCATGCTTACTGATAACTCGATTTTTCTCTATATACAGAAGGTAGTTGAATATTTCAAAATAAACTGAAGAATTTTCTGGTAGTATATACTGCTAATTAAATATATTTATTTTGGGTAAGCATGTCATAAAATGTATGTGACCCTTTTCCAATAAAAAAGTTTGTCAAATTTGATTATGATTTACAAAAGTAATTGCTTCATTAAAAATTATTCCCTTAATGCAAATTCAAGTCGTTATCAATTTTGAGTACCGTAAACGCACACAAAATAACCGAAACAGTTTGTGCAATATATAAAGTGGTGTTCGAGATTCTATCTATAATACGGTAAAACTAATATTTAATATTCAAAATATGAAATGTACAAATAAACAATTTGAGGACAAAAAAAATTAAGCAAAAATTAAAAATCAAAATAATCAACAAATTCTACTAACCAGTTATCTGGTATACTGAATCTAGTGTACTATAATAAATGTAACAAAACAAAGTTTTTCAAAAACATTTTTCTTATTTACATAAAATTTACTTACTTGAACTTAACTGGCTTCTTAAAATTTATCGGTACATAGCTTGTAAATATAAGTTTATCAAAGTGACGAAAATGATGACAAATTATCAAGCCGTTTACTATCGTTTATTTATTCTTTTTAACCACTAAATGATAAATAAAGCTTTACATGATATTTCATAGAAAACCTTTAGTTCGCATCTTTAAATAAAGTTTCAACTTGGCTTGACAGATATTTCAAAAAAATTAATAAATTAAATAATTAAAAGTATGACTGCTTGTGTTTACCCAGTGCGGTGACCATCACTATTCCTTGGAGAGTCATCTAAAATCAAATTGACACAAACTAAGTTTTATTAATAGATAATTTATTGCTAGATCGACTTTTTTTATTTAACAAAATATATTTCGGATTTTCTGCAAAAACCAATAATTAAGTTCATAACATGTTTTCAAAAATCTATTTAAATTTCATTGAAATCGACAGAGCGATTTTCGACCAGTTCAAAAAACATAGTTTTGAGGAAAACTCTTTAAAGTTTTACACGAACGTTCCAGACGCGTCCAAAAAACCTTTGCAAATTGTCGAATAACTCGAAAAGTATTTGTAAAACAAGGCTGCTATACTTTTAGAATATTCAAAAAAAAAAAATTACAAATAATGATTACCCCTAACCCCTTAAACAACTATAATGGTACTATGTTCTTGTTTCCAAAGTTCTAAAATTTAAAGTAAGATTAATTTATATACTAATTTAACAGTTATAAATGCAACAAACATATAATGTTATTCATATGTATATATATATGGTACATGGGACCGTATATAATAATTTGCTAAAAATTCGTGCCTGGCGCCTTCTTGTTGGTTTTCCAAGTGCAGTACTCTGACAACTTTTGAAATACTAACATTTAGAATATAAGAAAAAGTAGGTTTTAGTTAAAAATACTACCATGACAGCACCTATCTGACCCTTATTATTTCTACAAACTTTGCAGAAGTACAAGTCGATAAAATTGTTTGAAAATAGTATGAAGCAACAAAAAAACTCTTCAAAATTAGATATTTATACACTGTGTATAATTTACATAGGAATACATATGTATGTATTTAACATAAACACGTAACACTAAATAGTTCCATAACTAGCTTTAATATCAATGTTATCTGTTACACTGAAAGAGAGCAAAACTCAGTAAGAGTATTACTAAATACAGTAAGTAGAATCGGCCACAGTGAGAAAACAAAAATAACAAATATTTGTTATCGATAATCGTATACAAACAACAGAAACTAACTATATAAAAACGTTATCAAAAAATATATATATACATATACTTACGTCTACCAACAGGGATGACGTGATTTTGACAGCTCGTTGCGGCCATATTTGGGGATTTGTGTTTAATTTGGTCAATGTGTTCATTAAGGTTTGCCATTTCATCGTATTACGTTTCACTTTTGTACAACACTTAGAAAATGTCCAAGATTATTACGTAAATTCACGTTCTCAGGTGGCTACTGTAAGAGCCCTTCGCGCAAAACACGGCGATCTAAGAGGCGATCATTTCTGGCTTAATGGCTTCTTCAACAAACAAAATTGTCGCTATTGGGGTGATTTAAATCCTCGTGTGGTTCAGCAAACGCAATTGCCTCCCTAAAAGTTTACCGTTTGGTTCAGATTGTGGTATGGCGGCATCGTCGGACCTTATTTTTTTTTGAATTGAGACAGGAAATGTCGTTGCCATCAATGAAGAGCATAATAACACGATGTTAACCGACAAGGCGGTGCGCCACTTCAAGTTTGACGTATAAACATGGACACATTGCGTGCAAAGTTTGGTAACTCGTTTCGAGTAATGGCCCATATCAAGTATAAATGGCCGCCAAGATCATGCTATTTAACGCCTCTAGATTATTTTCTCTTGGAGTATGTTAAATCAAAGGTGTACGCCAATCTACCAGCAACGCTCGTGGAGTTCGAAGACAACATTCAGCGCACTACAAGTATAGCCGAAATGCTGCACAGGGTCATAGAAAATTGACGTAAACGGGTGGAACGGAACCGTGGTGGCCGAAATTTAGTTCAAATAATATATGGCCCAAAGTATCTGCATAAAAAAACAAACCGAACTCATTTTAATCAAATTTGAGTGTTTTATTTAATTTTAATAACACGTCGTTCTTGTTGGTTGACCCTTTACAAGTATATATACTTGTACATATGTATGCATAGCAGTACTTATGTTTGAAGTTCTAAGAAATATACAATAATATTTCTCATCGCTTTAAAGCTTTTGACTATACTTATATATATGTATACATAGCATGTATATGGTATATAGATATTTGTATTTATTTTCGATTAATTTCGATTATTCGCTTATTTTTAATAAATTTACTGTTTGAAAATATCATCAATTTGTAATGAAAAATAATAATAATGACTAAAAAATTTATTGTTGTCTGCTGTAAGTGTGTATCTTAAAAAAAAAGTATTAATTATATAACGAAAGTCGATAATAACGCGTTTATAGTAGTTAAACTAATGAGCACAAGCTGAAAAATCAATTGAAGGCAATCTAGATAGGGAATGTATGTAATGCAATGAATTAAATGTAAATACTTGTAATTAAATTGTAATGTAAAATTGCTCTATGTGTAATTACTATTAATACTACAAGCTTTGTTGAAGAAAAAATAACTTATACAAGAAAAATTACAATATATTAGTGTAAAATACTTACAAAACACCAAAAAAATTAATTAAAGTTAAGAAAATAATTAAAAAAATTTCACAAAAAATAATAAATATTGAGAAAATAATTTAAAAAAATTAAACAAAAATTAATATGAAATAAATATAAAATTCAAAAAAACATATACTTTAAAGATCACAACAAATACATAAGTAATTGAAAAAACGTAAAGCTTTGCAATGGAATTGTCAGGGACAGCCAGCTAATTGAAACATTGAGAATTGAATTTATAAAGAATTAAATCGGTGGCGCTGGCAACGCCGAGATTATCTAAACTAATATACGCCATTTATAATTAATTAAAATGACACTACTCCTCACAAGTGTAGCACACAATTGACTAAATAATAATAACTATAAAATTGATTACTGCGTATCATTACCAAATAACGGACACCACAAAAATGTATAGTACTATATGTACTTATTAAATTTTTTATTTGTTGATTCCATGTATGTGTGTTAAAAGTCAAATTTGTTTCATTGCTAACTGTATTCAGTAAAAAATAGTTCAAAGTTTAAATTAGCATAATATTAGTAAAAAAAATGAAGTTCAAATATCAACATATAACATTATTAAATGTATTTTTTAAAGAAATAAACAAAACGTTGAAATGCCGTTAGATGGAAGATCATATAATTACTAAAGTATACAATACACATCTCAAATTTAACAATAAATATTAGTTAAATAAAAAAAAATTGATTAAAACAATTGTTTTAGTGGTTAATAAAGAGTATATTAAATTTAATCAATTCTCTGATTAATCAGCTGTGCATTATCTGACGTATTGGGGAAAGTCAAAAATCCTATAAGAGAAATTTGCGTTACGCTTTTGGAAGAAAGAGTTTGCGAGAAGAGAAAACTAACAAAAATTCACAGCTGTAATGAAATCATGACAGATGTTGCTGTCGAACGCACTTCAAAAGAGTTAACGAGGCAAAATTGTTGGCAAGAGTAATTTTAAAGCGAAAAAAAGTCTACACACTTATTTCCAGCGAGCATTCTCTCGTGATCTGCGAACAAGAAACAGTCGTTAACAAACAGATACGGAGAATAAGGTGGTCGCAGAAGCATTTCTATAACCAATCATGCAATTTCGAAATCGGTTTGTATAACTCTTTCTTGCTAGTAAGTATATTTTAAAACCGAAGTGCGAGTGATCTTGCCCCTTCTTTATATTTACATTCGAGTTTACATGCATATAGGACATTTATTAGAAAAGATGTAACAGTTTACTGCCACTTGTTAGCTGCAATACTATGCTCTCATAACTGTAATCGTTTTATTTTTAACATACTCAGGTGTTGTGTCTCTCACTGTTGTGCTTTAATCAGTACAAGGCAGATTATCAAGTTATTATATCCACATACTGTATGCAAAATATTATATATTATTACACTGATCTACATATAAAAATAAATAAATACATCATCAAGACTGTTTTTGAGAAGATATATGTACCTATGTATGTACATACGTATGTGAAATGAGAGCAGTACGTACACCTATTTTAAGAGATTTGTCTAGAAAAATTGCAAGTGAATATGTATGTATTTGCATCGTTTCGACCACTATTATAGAGCCGAAAAACTTTTCAAATTTTACAGCGTAACTTTCGTTGGGTAATAAATGGCGATCATTCGTTTAGGAAGTGCTTTAAGTAATAATTAATATATTTCAAAAAAATGTCTTCCACTTTGATATTAATTTTTTTTTAACCCTTAATATATTTTACTATTCATTTTCAAACTAAACTTGTTTTGAAAAGTATACTTCACAGTTTTGAATTGATTGGATGACCGAGTGGCTCAATCTTATATTGTACAATATTCGATTCAAGTAGGAATATTTTACAACTCTCGCATTATATGCAGCCTCATTGTCCTATTTAAAGTGGTCGTCTACCTTCGCGCTTTGAAAAAATCGTTTTTTTTTTTTGATATTTCTAATGTAGACATATCGAGAAAAATATTGGTTTACAAGATATCGTGTCCCAAACCCGGAACGCGCTGCCTATTCACGTCGCTCAGTCAGCGTTAAACGCATTTTGCCAAAACAATTTTGTTGGCACGATACCGACAAAACAATAAAATATATTCAAAAGTTTCTAATTCATTAATAGCATTAAAATAAATAATAGTTTAACAGGCTTTAAAGGAATTTTTACACCCCATCCTATAAACCTCTTCTCTACCATCTTGTTTGTGAAAAGCTTACGGCGCATTTATTTCGTCAGTTATCGCACTTTTAGTATATTTTAACATAGCTGTTCTATTGGGAGTGGGCCTGGTGGATAAAAGGACTTCCTCTCAGCAAATTTGGTTGAGTTAGCTTAAGCGGTTTGGAAGATATTACATTAAACCATTTAGGGGGCGGAGTTACGCCCACCTTTAAAATAATGGGAAACTGTTATCAAATCATTGCATTGTCATCGGTCCTTGACACGTCTGCAAAGTTTCAAGTTGATCAGACTTCTGGAAATCGGTGAAAATTGAGCTCTAAGATTCCATTACATACATACAAGTACAACCCAAGCTAATAAAAGCGTATTAAAAATTATCTTTTTTGAGTTTCGAAGTTCTGAGGACGAACCGCTTAAATGTCATTTAAATTTTTATAAGTTATTGTCTGTGATTAAAAATCTTTATGACCAATTAAACTGAGATAACACTGTGTGAAATGTTTTTTTTTTGTTTTGTCTAAGATATTTTAAATTTTTTTCATAAACTTTGTGGTGCTGATTACGAAGTTTGCCTATTTTATCATATCACATCAGTTTTTAATAACAGTAAAATATTGCCCATTTGTGTGCCTAGGTATGTAGGTATGCCTATGATATAGAAAGAGCAGATTAATCATTTTGATAATTGTTATATTTGCTACACTATTGTGAAAGCTTTTAATACGAAAAATGACAATCAGTTGATCTCGCAAATCCTAGGAACTTTTGCACAACGCAAATTAATTTAATCCATGCAGATTTCTCCTTATCTGGCATACAATCAATAATATGTAGAAGGGTATTTATCACATTCATACTACCCGCTAATAAATTTACTTTCAAAGTCCAAACTTTGTTAGTCCAGTGTTCTGTCTTGGCTCGACTTTCCCAAATTTAGTGTATTCTCCTTATTGACCCAAAAGAAAATTTTAGGATTTTAATTTGGGATCCAAGGCTTACTAAACACTTATAATGGTTCCCCAAAGTAGTTCAAATAGGCCTGTTTTATAGTAACAGACATATTTAAACGGCATACTCTAAACATATAGTCACCACAATCAGCACAAAATCTAATCGGATGGTTTAAACCACTAAGACAGTTTAAACTGTAGACATAACGGTTTATTTATGAAATTTAGTAATTTTTTGCCCTAAAAATTAAAAGCCGAGTAACGACATTTCAAAAAGTATCTGTATCACTAGAACTAGAGCTGATAAAAAGAAACTGAGGGTAGATTTGTAATCAGCGACGTCAAACGACTTGTTTACCGGTGTTATATATGAACAAGGAAAAACATTAAATACGGTTCCAGGGGAGCTATGATACCGTTCACAAGTTCACAGGTGCAATTCTTATAGCATAAATAAGGTATAAAATGGCCTTTCAGTTGATTTTGATCGGTCAGTTTGTATGTCAGCTATATTTTATAATGGTCCCATATCGCCGGTTTCAACGAATACGGAGATTACTTTATATATAATATATACAATATTTTGTATATTTCAACGATATAAAAACATAGTTGACAACATTATGGAGATCTGAGAACTATAACCAGTGGAAATAGTGGTTTTCGATGGATCACAAATAGAACTGAATTGGAAGCTTAGCTGGCCTTCAAAAATGTTATCAATGAATCCTGATATTTGTGAGATTTTTACAGAAATTCTCATCGAGGCGTAATTTTATGGCAAACTAGAAATTGTATTGTTAATAATAGTTCTGTAGTATTGAATATACCTGATATTTTCTTAATAAATATTTAAATAAGTGAATTTGTTGCATAATAACAGATTTTTTATTATACATAAATCATAACACTGCCCTCTCCGCGATGGTGAAGACTGAGAACTGACCTGCTGTTCCTAAATCGTTAATCTTATAAGCCATATACTTTCTTTTGTTTTCATTTTTATTTCATTCCACATGGCTCTCAGCAAGTCTCAATCTTGCCTGTCAATTGTTTGAATTTTAATTGCCTCAGAATTTGTTTAAAAAAAATTTCAGAAACTTCTTTATCTTTATTTTTTTCGTTATTTAAGTGATAATAATTAAAAAAATTACCGAAAACGCACTAAGTACTAGACCCTTAATTATAATTAATGATAATTATCAACGCTTATTTTAAAATTAAAACATGTGTTGCACAGTGTAATCATTTATTGTTTTTATTTACATTGTGTTTGATTATAAATATGTATAGTAAATGAGTATACATATTTATCAATGCATAGCTTCATCGCTTCATCGCTAGCGATAAAAAGACTCCGTACCTAGCTCAGTTTACATCTAACTGCCTCCAGCGGCAGTGGCTTCGTTGCGCGTTATTCCAGTTGACGAGAAGAGCAGTACGGGTGTTGCTGATTAGATCGTCTTATTAAGTTGTTATATTGAAAAACACAAACAAAGCGTACAAATGAACGCTTTGGCGTTGATCGCTTTCGCGGTCTGGGCGCTTTTTATGCGCTACTTGCCGCACATCGTAGAATTTTTACGTATAAAGAAATTCGCGTCTACCATACCGGGACCAAGTATTGGTGAACTTATTGAGAATGCGAAAAAAGGACGTGAGTGGAAAATTATTATTGAAAATTATATAATTAGTGTTTGAACAGAATTTCAAGGCATAGGGCTAACTAAAGACGTCTTTTGGAGATCATTCTGATGATCTAATTTTTTCAATAATTTTGTGAGCATAGTCGCTAATAAATCGCCGAATTTTTGTTTTGAATAATGACTGGTTCTTCAACAGTAATTAATTGTCTCAAATCACATGATCCAAGTGACTAACCGACAAGTCCATCTATTGGTATAATTTGGTCGCCAAAAGTTCGGCCCAATAAAGTGATGTCCTGTATCAAATGATTTAAATTGACGTGAGTAACCAAAAAGTGGCGTATAATTTGAGTGTAATGCTCATAATTGATAGTAACATTGGCTTCATCTTTAGCCTTAAGAAAACATCACTAATGTTTTCCGTACGCAAAAGAAATTATAATAAATTCTTTTATTTAGGTAAAAATAAAAATTTAAATATGAGTTTGCCGAAGAGAACAAAAGTTTTGAAAATAAATTTCCAGAATTTTCAAATATTTTTTCTTGGCAAAAATGTTAGTGGAGCAGATTGTTCACGTCGAAGTTTTAAAGTAAAGAATGCGAAGAGCAACATTAGTAAAACTGTCAAACTTTCATAGTAACTGTAGACAAAGCCGTTCCCTTCTATCGTTTATGAAATTTTTTTTTAACTCATTCCCATAAAATAAAAAAAGAGTCCAAATAATTATTATCGGCCTTAATACTATTCTTTCGGTGAACTACTAAGTTCAAAAGTATTGAAATCTTAATGTCAAACACATGTGTGTACTTTGTCCTGTCAGACAGGATTTCAAGGCAAAGAAAATTGTATTCTAATAGAGTTTAATTAAAATCCTGTCTTGATATCTTGATGACAAAAAAAAAATGCTAATTGAGGTGGCCGATTCAAATAAAGTGCCGTCTGCAAATTCTTTAAGTCTAAAAAATTAATTTTGTTTAAATTCATTTTTAGAAAATTACTGAAAGTAAGACCTTAATTACGATTTGGGTAGAAAAAAATTATTTGATTCAAATAAAGTATTGTTTGGAAAAGAAGTTTTATTCAAATTAATTTTAGTGAATACGAAAAGTAATATAGCTTTTTTTTTGCTTTTTGGAATAGTTTTGTTCACTTAATGGTTGATCGGCAGCCACGCCTACAAAACGCCATTAACCGAAAACGTATTAAATGCCATAACTAAGCAATAAATTAAAATACAAAACTGTAAATTGGCATAGGGGATCGCAGAAGCAAGGGACAATTGTGGTCAACAATTTTGAAAACGTTGGCAAAAAAAAAATTCCGAAAATCGGATTGTAATCCCGCTCTCTCTCCATGTAACGGTTTTGTTAAAAACTACTTAAAGATAAATCAATAACAAAATGCACTAGAGACATTTAATTTTACATCAAGGATGATACAAGAGGGCTTTGTATGTAGCAAAATTGGAAGGGGGGCATGGCAGCGCCACATATAGGTGAAAACCCATATCTCAGGACCTACTAGGCCGATATCGATCAAATTGGGTATGTAATTGTCTTCACATTGTTATGTTGCAGTGCGAAAATAGGCGAAATCGGACTGCAACCACGCCTACTTCCCTAGGCCATCTTATGACCAAAAATTGTTAAAATCGGACTATAACTATTCAAGCCCCCAGATACCGAATATGGGGACCCCAGTTTCTACAGCGAACATTTTATTGAAAATATCGGTCAATCTGTGAAATTGAAATTCGATCAATACTTACCTTAGTGTTAATACAAGGTTTTGACAACGCCTAAAAGTCCGGCTTTCATCCTTGCAAGTTGCAAGAGTATAAAATGTACTATACTTGTATATTAGGCTGTGCTAAAAAAACTTGTATTTTGTTTTTCTTTGATGCCGTGTAAATATCGTTCGAAATGACGAAAAAATAATTCTGGAATTTTTTTGACTTCCCATATAAGTAACATAGGAATGTCTTCTTATTTTATTTGTATGTTGAATGCATTTGAACAAATTGTTGTATAGTGAAAATGAAAGAATAAAGGTCCACTACTCACTAATTTAACGTCGCTGATTTCAAATCTACTCTTAGTTTCCTTCTATCAGCTCTAGTTTTAGTGTTACAGGTACTTCTTGAAATATCGTTACTTGGCTTATTTAAAGTAATTTTAGACAAAAAATTACTAAATATCATAAATAAACCGTTATTTCTAAAAGAACTTGTTTATATGATCCGAATATTGTAGTGCTGTTTGTGGTGACTATTTATATGTTTAGAGAATGCCGTTTAAATGCGTCTGATTTTATAAAAAAGGCCTATTTGGTTATGGAGAAAATAAAATACATAGAACATATCTGGCTGATATGCGTCGATCTTGAAACGGTCAATTTCGAAACCTAAAGCTGCTAGAGAAAAACTAACTACAGATTTGGAATCAACGTGACAAAATCATACAAAATCGGGGAAAACAAATCTACTGTTTTACAGCGTAATGATTTCACTTTTTATATTTTTTCACAAAATAATGCCTCAAAGCCATAACAATTCTTATTTGTCGTCATGCCGTTATCAAATGTGTTTGGTGTTTTGAGTACTGTGATTGTATGGTAAGTACATAGTTATATATAAATGTCATCAAATGTATAACATAATAAAATTTCTAATCTTTTTAATACTTCCAGCTATGCTATGTCAATAAAAACAACAAGAGTTTTAAAAAAGAAGACATTTTATGATTTTGAGCCATTATTTTATGAAATATTGTTAAAAATTGTAAAATTATATTTTGCGAATTAAGGTTGGGCTTTGGCCTCAAATAACTTGTTAACGAGTTTACTTATCAATCTTTGGTAGATCGTTAAATTGCCTGAAGTACTTAATAAGGTTTCATTTTCAAACAAAAACTTCTCAAGGATAAAATATATTATATACATATATGTATATATTTATATGGTCAATTAATAACCGCAATGTGGCACCTCTTAAAATTAATATTGCGAGCTCAAACTTTATCAGATTTTTTTATTCAGAATAATAATCTGGTATTGTTAGCTTCTTAACACTTTCACTTTTATCTTATCTACCTCATCATAGTTTAGTTTTTTGTTCGTTTGAGAGAGCATGTTCTCTCTATTCAAATATAATATATTGCTCTAACTGAGTAATATTATCTACTCAAGTATAAGTATATTCGTATGCATATAAAAAAAGTCTTAAAATTTATTGCTGTAGTAAATCCACACGATAAGAACGATAGCTTTTCTCCATTGTTGTTTAATAAATGAAACAGATAATTAAAATTCAGTTAAACCTTCATTATATTTAAATATGTGCAAAGGTCATTTACTGACGTACACAGCGCAGCCAGTTTATTAATAAATTAAATCCGTTCCACTATTAAAAATTGCATCATGTTATGACTACCGCCTCGCGCTTTGTTTTTATTGCTATGTCAAAGCACATTGGTGGGGCACAAAGATAAATGTCTGCCTATTTAAGCTTCTGGTCTTAGAAACTATTGCTGATTTTAACATAGACGTTAAAAGTTTACACATGTGACTTTTTGCGAGCTCTGCATTGACATTTACATTACATACATGGAAAAAACTGAATTTTTTGAACCTCAAAGCTTACAACGCAATTAATACATATAATCGGAAATATGACATGAAATTACTGTGCATTTATGCATAATTTTTGTTGATTGGAGAGGATTAAGGCAACATGCAAGGTGATCAGTTTTCAAAGTTATATATGGAGACTAATAATACAATTTTTTAAAACTACAATTTTTTTTTAATTTTTTGTTTTTTTTGAAGAATTAGTATAAAGATAAATAAAATATAACAGTAAAGTATAACAAGTAAGGAAGAGCTAAGTTCGGATGTAATCGAACATTTTATACTCTCGCAAAGTCAAATCGTATACTCGTTTGTGGATTGACCGATATTTTCGGTAGAAGGTCAACTATAGGCACTGTGGTCCACATATTCAGTACCTAGGGGCTTGAACAGTTTTGGTTCGATTTAGACAATTTTTGGTCACAAGGTGGCATACTTTAAACGTATTATTCACGCAAAGTTTTACCCCGATATAGTCATTGTTGCTTGATATGCATAGTGGAAAGTGAAAGAATCAGATGAAATTGAAAATGGTGTTATGTAGGAAGTGGGGTTGTTGCAATCCGAGTTCGCCCATTTTCGTACTATAACATAGAAATATGAGAAGAATATTATGTATCGAATTTGGTTGAAATCGGTTAAGCAGATCCCAAAATATATATGGGTTTTCACCTAAATATGGGCGGTGCTACGCCCACAGTCTAATTTTGAACGCGGTTCCTATAAAGTCATCTCATACCACCTCAGAGATAAAATTTAATGTTTCTGGCGTGTTTAGTGCTTGATTTATCGCGCTTTTAGTAATTTTTAACAGTACCGTTATATGGGGAGTGGGCGGAGTGGCCACCCGAAATAACTATTAGTTTTAGGTGATACAAACAACCGTTAGGTGAACAAAACTATTATACTCTGTAGCAACAGGTTGCGAGAGTATAAAAAGTGTATTTTTAATTGTATTTTTTTAAGTTAGATATAAGGTTATGTATATAGAAATGATCAGGATGAAGAGACGAGTTGAAATCCGGGTGACTGTCTGTCCGTCCGTCCGTCCGTGCAAGCTCTAACTTGAGTAAAAATTGAGATATCTTTATGAAACTTGGTAGGCATGCTTCTTGGTACCGTGAGACGGTTGGTACTGCAGATGGGCGTAATCGGACCACTGCCACGCCCACAAAACGCCATTAATCAAAAACAAATAAATTGCCATAACAAAGCTCCGCAATAAGATACAAGACTGTTATTTGGTATACAGGATCATATTAAAGAGGGTCATCTGCAGTTAAAATTTTTTTTTTAAGTGGGCGTGGTCCCGTTTTTAGAACCTCTATTGACAGTGTGAAAATAGTTGAAATCGGGAGGCAACTCCGCCTACTACCCATGTAACGGTACTGTTAAAAAATACTAAAAGCACGATAAATCAAGCACTAAACACGCCAGAGACATTAAATTTTATCTTTGAGATGGTATGAGATGACTTTATAGGAACCGCGTTCAAAATTAGTCAGTGGGCGTGGCACCGCCCACTTTTAGGTGAAAACCCATATCTTGGGATCCGCTTCCAGTGCCTATAGTTGACCCTCTACCGAAAATATCAGGCAATCCACAAAGAAATCTCAAACGAGTATACGATTTGACTTTGCGAGAGTATAAAATGTTCGGTTACATCCGAACTTAGCCCTTCCTTACTTGTTTAGGTTAAGAAATGTTTCTCCAGCAGAAACTTTTCTAGCTAGTGATAGTTAGTAGTTAAAATACCAACTTAAACTTTTAAATAAAAATTAATAACTAATTTAATTATAACTTCTTTAATTTTAACTTTATAACATAAAAGTAGTACTGCAATATGTACTACATTCAAGTAACTATTAAAAAAATAAAATATTGCAATATGTTTTAGTATGAAATGAACTTTTTATGTAGAAATCTTTGACGCATATATATTTTCAGAATTTTTTTTTTTTAATTTTTAATTTTTAGATTTTGTGATACTTTTAAACTCTCTAAATAAACCAAAATTTATGTGTGATATTTTTAATCAAAATTTCAATGATTGTTGCACTCGAACGCTAGACAAATAATTTTGTGCATTTATGAGAACACTAAAGGATGTTAATACTACCTGACGGCCACTTAATTTAATTCTACGCATGACAAGATATTTGTTTCAATCCAAAATTGAATGTTAAATGTAAAAGATTGTGGTTGTCTTTGTTAATTTAAGAAACAAATATTAAGTAACGAACCTTAATATATAAAAATAAATACTTAAATATAGTTGTGTATATTAGCTTAAAATGTGCTTTCAGAAAATATTGTCTTCTGATTTCAGAAATTCTGCTGTGGCTCAATACGCTTTACAAAGAACATGGTCCTGTTTTTCGCATATGGTTCGGTAAGGATCTCATGGTTTTCTTTTCCGATGCTGAGGACGTCAGACAAATACTAAGTAATAACAAATTGTTGAAAAAGTCCAGAAATTACGAACTCTCCGAAGTATGGCTGGGCAAGGGACTCTTAACTAGTGCCAACAAAGCCTGGCAACGTCGCCGGAAATTACTCACACCCGCCTTTCACTTTCGCATACTGAGCGAATTCAAGGAGCCCATGGAGGATAACTGTCAAATTCTCATCAGCAAATTGCGCGAGAAAGCAAACGGCGAGCAGTTCGATATATATCCATATATAACGTTATTCGCTTTGGATGCTATTTTGGAGACGGCGATGGGCTTAAAAAAAAATGTACAGATGCAGGGCGAGTCGGAATATGTGAAGGCAGTACAGACGTATGTGAAGAATTTAAAAACCAATCTCTTGAAATCTTGTATTCTACCTTCATCCCCATTCCAGCATTTGTCGCGTGTTGCACAAGCGATCCTTCTCATTTTGGCATCGCTTTGAGTTGATCTATCGCTTCACCGATGCGTACAAAGAGCGATTGGAGGCACTGAAGATACTGCATGGCGAAACTAATCGTATGATCAAGTTGCGTCGCCAACTACTGCATGACAACAACTTACATAATGTGGCTGACGCTGAGAAATCAGATGACGTCGGCGGTAAGCGTCGTCTTGCCTTTCTCGATATGCTGCTGCTATCGCAACTAGAGGGTAGCGGTCTAACGGACCTCGAAATACGCGAAGAAGTCGACACTTTTTTGTTCGAGGGTCACGATACCACGAGCTCTGCCATGGCCTTCTGTATTTATTTGCTCTCCCAGCATGAGGACATACAGCAGCGCGCTTACAAGGAGGCCGTAGCTATGCAGGGCCGTGAAAAAGAATCCATGCGTTACTTGGAGGCGGTCATAAAAGAAACGCTACGGATTTATCCTACAGTACCTTTTTACTCACGAAAAACGGAAGAAGACTTACAAATCGGTAATTTGACAGTGCCAAAGGGTGCCGCCATCAGCATTCTGGCCTATATGGTACATCGTGATGAAAAGCATTATCCAGAACCTATAAAATTCAGCCCAGAACGGTTTTTGGCAACCGACAAAGAGTTGCATCCATTCGCTTTCGTAGCTTTTAGTGCTGGACCAAGGAATTGCATTGGTAAATGAAATGAAACTATTTTATTAAATCTTCAGTTCCATAATAACTCATTAAATTCCATTTTCTGTTCTCTATTAGGTCAAAAGTTTGCCATGTTGGAGTTAAAGCTCACGCTATCGTCTCTTTTGCGGAGTTACGAGTTTTTGCCAGTGAAGGATTTCATACCCAATCCGTTGGCAGAGTTGGTGATGAAAAGTGGAAATGGCATACAGATACGTATGCGGCCACGAAAATAGAACACGGCCACCATTTTTTAATGCATTTATTGATCTTTCACCGGCTTGTGTTGTTAAATATTACTTGTTTAAAAAGATGTTCTAAAAAAATTATTTTATTAATAATCGTATGACTTTACAATTTCCCTCAATATAAAATGCAAACTCCACTTTATGAACGGGGATATCGGACCACTATAGCATTTAGTTGCCATACAAACTGAACGATCGAAATCAAGTGCTTGTACGGAAAACTTTTTCATAACACGAGAATTTGTCATGGATTACTGCAATACTGCAATCTCCGAAAAAATTGTTCAGATCGGAATACTATAGCATTTAATTGCCATACAAACTGACTGATCAAAATCAAGGAATATTTTGTATTTGTGAAGGTCATTATAGCATCCGTTCAACCGAAGTTAACATTTTTTCTTATTTTAAATATTGTATATTCGTTACTTGCACTTTATAAGCTTTACGAACTCTGCGATATTGACTGCAAAGCGACTATGTCTATACTTTACTTGCCTTTTTAAACTCACAAAATCAAACTGAAGTTAGTGTGACTATATTTAAAGTGGAAGTTATTGAAGAGTTTTATTAAAGTCGAGCAACTGCTTCGAAATTGAGTAGCGTAACAAAATGAAATTTTTTTAACAATTTGTGTGGATTAAAATGGATGTTATACTGAAAACGAAGTTAAAATGTTGCCAACTGTTTGAACTTTTTTACTAAATAAATTTATGGGAGAAAAAATACTACAATGTACAGGTTAGTTGTGAAGTGTCTGCTCTTACCAAGAAATATAACTTCTAGCTCTAGCTTTTTCTCCAGTTGGTACATCTGTCGTGAGAACACATGAAAAGTTATAAGTCATTCTGTCAATTAATTCTTTGTTTACAAGCCATTTGAAGTTTACGCGTCAGTATCTTTTTAATATGGAGAACATTGAATATCGCGCAGTGATTAGGTTATTTGTTTTGAAAGGTTTAAAAGCAAGGGAAACTTATAAACAATTGTTAGAAGTGTAGGAGCACTCACCTTCAAAATGCACCGTTGAATCTTAGGCTGGTGAACTTAAACGTGGTTATACTAGGCTTGAAGACGATTCACGCGAAGGACGACCACACCACAACTCATTGAGCAAGTTCATAATATTGTTTGTGAAGATCCAAGTTTGACTGAGTGTAAAATTGCTTGCAGCTGTGAGGAGAGTTAGTGCCGCACACGTTAACAATTCAACAAAAACTGGATCGAAAGCAAATTTCTCAGCATAATTTGAAGTATTTTAAGCAGAATAAAAAAGATGTTATGCGTAGTTGTATAACTATGGATGAGACTTGGATCTACCACCATGATCCTAAATTGAAACAACAGCGTTTACAGTGGGCTGAAGCTGGTTGTTCAGCTCCAAAGCAGGTGAAGTCACATCGATTAGCAAAGAAGGTTATGGCATCCGTTTTTTGGGATGCAAAAGGAATTTTGTTGATTGATTATCTGCAGAAAGTTAAAGGAATCCACTGTAAATATTATTGCAGCCTTTTGGATCAGCTGGATGAAAATATTCATTCAAAAAATCATTTTTCATCAAGACAATTCATCAATGCTAAATTTGCATGATTGCAGCGATTACTGTCTCTTCGGAAACGTGAAACAATTCCTTCGTGGAAAGCGTTTTTCGTCGAATGAAGAAGCTATTACAGCCGTAGACGGGTATTTTGCAGAGCTTCCGGAAAGTCATTATAGGGATGGCATAAAATTATTGGAGGATCATTGGAATAAGTATATTAAGTTAAGGGAGATTATATTGAATAAAATAATATATTTCGTACCAAAAACAGGATTGTTTCATTTCGAGCGCAGAAACTTTTCGTTTCCTTCGGGTGTTAAAGGTTTTGAAAATTTTGTATGCGTTTCAAGGTTGGACTAACAACACATAATACCGGTGAAACACATCAGTAACAGAAAATTTTTATTTGCATTTTTTACTGGGTCATGCAACATAAAATAACCAAATGAATTAATAGCATACTTTTAGGGTGAACAACTACAGATGTGTCCAGTAAGTAAGAAAAGCTTTGAAAATCTGACTTTGATAAAATAAAACTTCAAAAATTTGATTTTGAAATTTGCTTTAAGAAAAACAAAACAAAAAAATAATAAAATTATATTTGGGAGACTTTGTAAAGTTATTTTCCTTGCTTTTAAACCAAAATGTGATAGATAGATATTCAACATTGGTGAATATTTGAACAAAAAATTTCCTTGGTATGCTAAAAATATGCTAAAAATTTTTTTTATAAAAAATTCAATATGCGACATGAAGAATCCGTACGTCTTTCTTTGGCTAAATTTGTTTGGAAAATAGTGTACATATTTCAAATATGAAATACAAATACGGAATGTTTTAGTTTCAGAATGTGGCAACTATGGTCAAAAGATTTTTTAAATAAAGTTATCAAATACCTACCATATGATCTTTATGTACATATTAGTAAAGATTCTATATAATATAATATAATAACAACCTACCCGACTATCTCAAATAGTTCTGCTAAAATATAGATATAATGATAGAATATAATAAATATATGTTCTTTTATTATTGGGTATATAACTATATTCGACCGGAACAAATGGTAGTCATAAGGGTCAAGGTCTGGGCTATAAGGAGGGTAAGGCAAAACTTCCCAGCCGCTGTTTTCCAAATAATTTTTGACCGGTCTTACAACACGAAGCTGAGCGTTGTCATGATGGCGAATTGTTGCCTCGTGTGTTGTCGCGAATTCCGGGCGTTTTTCGGTAACAAATACTAATCAAATTGAAGCGGATTAGTATTTGTTGATGCCATTCCCTATAAATCGTTTCACCTAATTTTAGAAGCCCATAATACAACACGTCCTTCTAACCCTACAAAATAGAGAGCATTATCTTGGCATCATGGATATTCGGCTTTGCTTTTGATTTGACTGATTGACTTGATTTGCCATTTAAGGTTATCGTAATGGATCCTTTTTTCATCGCAATCCGATGCAAAAACGACTTCTTACTGTGGCGTTTCATATGCCAACCAATTTCTTTGCTTTTGAATAAATCTGGCTGTCGATGTCGAGTAATGTCTCTAGTTCCTCATCTTCAAACTTTTTGGTCACCCAGGACCTTCTTCGTCTTCCAAGCCAAAACCACCACTTTCAAGTAGCGCAAACCACTTTTGGCATTTTATCTCAGCTAGAACTATAAGCATCCAACAAAATACGATGACTTTCGGTTGAGGTTTCATATTAAAGTAATGACGAAGAGCTCCCCGCAAAAACACTTTTTCATGCACATACATATTCGAAATATTTGAAAAAGTCCCCACGGACTATAGCTTCCCAACGTATGTTCGAAATATTGGAAGAATAATAAAATATTAAAGCTAGGTCTTGACAAACCGCACTAATATAGTCTTAGACCCAATATATGGTAAATAATTTTTTGTACCAAATTTTTCGTTTTCAGTTCCAAAACAGTCTGCGCATAATGGAAATAATAATATCATTACTAAATATCGAGTGATTTAAATACATAAACAGTATAAGATATTTAATTAAAAAATTATAAAAGCAAATATTGCTTTTAATTAAAATTATCTAACTTATTTTCGAACGACTTTTCTTCAACCATTTTCAAAAGAATTTTCTTAAAAGATCTAAAACATCATGCGATTTAGCTAAAAGCAGAACCACCTTCATTTAAAAATGTATGGCCGACAATCCAAATGGACACACAGCAAAACTGCTATATGGAAACCGCACTTGTCGCACATTGTGTACGCCCTAATTTTTTCGTTAATGCTACTACAAAAGAGCGATATTTTAATATGCAGATGGTGTTTCAAATATTTTGTAAAATACATAGCAAATGTCGGCAAGAAATGCAATCAATATTGCCAGCAGCAGTCAACGGTAGCGACAAAAAATAACCGGTGGGACGAATTTCAAGGTTGCCATTCGGCACAAAAGCAAACCCGCGCGGTTGGTTGCACAAATTTAAGCAAATGTATAATTTTGTACTTGCGCAAGTATTTGAGTGCAAAGTCTGCGGTCTTTTTTACTGGCAAAGCCACTGCCTAAGCGTGCGAATTACCAAAACCTTAGGATTGCACTTCAAACGCCAAACAGAACCGTTGCGTATAAATAATATTATTAGTTAGAAAATACTTACAGGCGGCTAATTTTTGGCACTTGAGCATTTCTTTAGCGTATGAGTAACTAGCGGTCAACTGCTGAAGCGTCGGTGACGGGAGTGTTGCGCATAAAAACGTGCCACCCTCTAGCGCTGCCATATTCGTCACGTATCTAGTACATAACTACTCACAAGTATATAGGTACAACATATTTATATGGGAACCTGAAATTACCAATGCACACGTCAAGCTGACAAAATAGCCGAATACCTCATTGTGAAAATGATTGCGTTGCATACATTTTTAAATTAGTACTCTGCCTTTTATCTTATTTGTTAATACTTTGACTTTTGGGCGCATACCGCATGCGAATTTGTCGTTAAGTATGTAACATAGCAGGTGGGTAATACAAAAAGTCTGTCCACTTAATTCGCGATATCTTTAGTAAGTAATTTTTTATCTAATATCATCAAAATATTAACTTTTCATTTTCAATAAATAAAGCAAGCATCAATGAAGATATCGAAACGAAACTAAACTAAACCCAGTGATATGATTTCAATATATCTAATAATAATCGGGATCAGTGCATACCAGTCCCATTTTAAAAATGTCTGTGCCTATGACTGACTCCATAGCGAAACTGTATGTAATTTCCCAGATATCTTAATGAAATTAAGTGGGCAAGTTTCATAATTACAAACAAATTTGGGGGTAATAATGACAAAAACGGCCAGGCCTTCTAGTACAATATTTTGAAAATGTTTGTTTTCCTTCTAAGTACTAACAAACTATTTTCGGTTTTTTAATTTTTTGATTTTAGATCAACCAATAATGAGTTATATTGTCCACGACAAGAACATTTTGGTTGAAACGTCAAAGCAGATGATGTACCAACGGCTAAAATTTTACAAAATAAATGAATGAATGAAATGAATTGTTCAAACTAAATATATTATTGTATATATGCGAAAAGGCAGGTTAGGAAAGGCTAAGTTCGGTTGTAGCCGCACATTTTATACTATCCCAACTTGCAAGGATCATAGCCGGAAAAATACCTTTAGGTGAAATCGTGAAAGGATTGCAATTAAATTTGGTAACTTATTAACTATGTATATTATAAGTCGTAAACTCACTTCGTTTCATTACTACATTTTGCATGTCAACTCAAATGGAATATTTGTGTTTTTTTCGAGGTATAGAACTTTAAGTTGGTTAAGTTCAAGATGGCGACCGATTTAATAGCTGTCAAGTGATTTTCTCTCAGTTTGGTTTGGCGATTCATCATGAATAGACTCACGCCTGAACATCGCTTGCAAATAGTGCAATTTTATTTCGAAAATAATGTTACTTTGAGGAATACGTATCGCGCACTACGTTCATTTTATCGTATGATGCGATGAACCGCACTTCTGGTTGAATGGCCACGTCATCAAACAAAACTGCCACATTTGGAGTGAAGCTAATACTCAAGTATATGTCGAAACACCGTTACATCCAGGAAACTGACTGTTTGGAATCATTGGTCCG